GTTAATTTTAGCACAAAATACGGCAAAAGTTATGGAAAGTTATCCCCAGAGATTCAGTTACGCCATGAAATTTAGCGGTTTTTCAGTAAATTTTTCAAGTTTTCTAAAATATCCCATTTTCCGTTTTTAAAACCTGAAAACAATCGAAAATTGGAATATCGCGGTATCGAATAACCAACACCCGTTTTTCACTTTTTTTCGTGGCTAGCCATGCGGAAAATCGATCACTGATAGCCGGCCATCAACCAGGATGATGATGGTTTCTTTGGTTTCGTTTCTCTCTCTCTCACTGTCTCTCTCACTCGCTCTCTCTCTCTCTCCCCTCCCTCCCCTCCCTCCCTCCCATTTCAAGACCGCCCTCTCGACAACATGCTCCATTCTTTTTGTTTGGAGACGCGCCACCCACCCCTCCCCATTTTTTTCGCTTCTTTCTGCCCATCCTCACCATCACTACCTCGGCCCGGTGGGGGGCACTGATCGACTGGTCGGTTTCGGGGGTTTCCGGTCAAATGATCTCTGCTAGCTTGCCTGGTTAGAGTGTTTTCCTGAAGAATATTTGCTGGCTTGCTTCAATCTATTTTTAGAATAATTTCTGCTCGTGTGCCACATTAGATTTGCCGCTGAACGCTTTTGTAAAATTTGCTTCGACTCTAATTAATTTCCTAAAAGACCTATGCCACCACGTTCTTAGAAAATCTCTGCTAGTTTGCCTGCCTCAATCTTCCTAAAGGTTTTCTGCTAGCTTGCCTCACTGTATTTTTCAAAGGATCTCTGCTAGCTTGCACGATTCAAGCATTTTCTGCATAAATTATGCTAGTGTCCAAAAGTGTCTAAAAGTGAGCAATATTCATCAATAATCGGCGCTGCAATGCAGTAGTCGGTACCCTTTTCCTAAAGCATTGATGCTAGCTACCGCATGGAGAGGGATTTCCTCAAGAGTCCCTGCTAGTTTATCTGGTTTCACAACTTTTCTAAAGAAGGGCTGCTAGCTCGCCTCATTCGGGAGATTTCCTAACCTCTGCTAGTTGGCCTCCTTCCAATACGTATCCTAAAAATCACTGCTGCTTGCTCGATTTGGACACTTTTCTCAAGAATCTTTACTGGCACGTCAGATAGTTTTTTAAATTGTCTCTGCTAGCTTGCCCTAAACCCCAAATTCACGAGAAAAATGTCTATTAGTGCGAGCATTTCCCCAAAGGTCGCTGCTAGCTTGCCCTCGCTGCTTGCCTCGATCCGATACGATATAATCTCCCTCGTTTGTCATCCCATTTTGCACCCACAGCCACTTGAGGTTGGGAGCCGAAAATAACGGAAACTTTCGGCGAGACGGCCTCTTTCCAAAAGTGTTTTTCTGAGGTTTCCAGGGTGTAGAAGGTCATCTTGTTGTCCGTTTCCATTCACCGCATCTTTGGGCACAAAAAGTGTGATTATGAGCGTTGGAATCTGGCTAAAAATAGGCATTTTCCGGCAAATCTTTTTTGAAAATTTTTACGATTTTTTTGGTTGATTCAACATTGCGAAATTATGGCCTGAAATCGTAGAAAAAAAAGAAAAACAAATCGAATGACATTTCCAGCGTATTTTTCTGTCTTCTCGGAACCCTGATTCATCAGGAGGGCGCGATAATATTTTCTTTATTTTTCTTGTAGAAATTTTGTTTTCCACGATTTCCGTATTTTTCTGTCTATTTTCCATTACATGCCATCTTCCGATTCGAAATCCATAGTTCTTAATGAAAATTATGGTAGCAGGCTGGCAGAGACCATTTTGGAATGGAAGGGGCAGGCTAGCAGAGATCATTTGGGAATGGAAGGGGCAGGCTAGCAGAGATCATTTGGGAATGGAAGGGGTAGGCTAGCAGAGATCATTTGGGAATGGAAGGGGCAGGCTAGCAGAGATCATTTGGGAATGGAAGGGGCAGGCTAGCAGAGATCATTTGGGAATGGAAGGGGCAAGCTAGCAGAGATAATTTGGGAATGGAAGGGGCAGGCTAGCAGAGGTCATTTGGGAATGGAAGGGGCAAGCTAGCAGAGATCATTTGGGAATGGAAGGGGCAGGCTAGCAGAGATCATTTGGGAATGGAAGGGGCCGGCTAGCAGAAGCAGAGATCATTTGAAAGGTCGTTCCCACTTTCCCAAGACCCTAAGCTTTTACCATGTTGTTTTGACCGTCTCCCTCCGTTGTGCCTGTTATCAACCCCCGGCCGCTCCACGACAGTCCATCCCCGATTATTTGGCACTCACCCCCGAAATTGGCCAAATAACACACTCGAGGATTGATATCAATCACCCACCCGGCAGGCCATCTCTACCTAACCATCCGAAACTCTGGTATTTTACCCGTTCCACCGTGAAACTTCCATCGCCCGATCCCATACCCGAAAATTGATGGGTCCGTTCGACTAGCTGCCACATGATCACTTTGACGTCATAAAAATCGAATTCCTACCAACTAAAGGCATTGGATAATCTTTAAGGGACATAAAATCGCCAGAATTTACCCTTTCCATCGACTAGATCTCGACAGCTACGCGGCGCGCCAAATGACACGTTAATCTGGCATTGATAGCCCGCGCAAATTTCAATCAAGCCTTGCAAAAATTGAAACACTCGCAGGTGTCTTTTGGCGTGTCGCGTAGTTGTCTAGGTCTAACCGACGGAGGGTAGGTAGATTCTAGTGCTTCCACGCCCCTTAAAAACCAAAATTTCCTGACCCTTAACTAACATTTTTCAAGATTTTAGCGCTGAAACTTACAAATCCTCGAAAAACATCCCTGTACTGGCCAATTTTCAAAAAGCAAAAAGCTTTAGACCGCGGCGGGGATCGAACTCGGGTCGTTTTCTTGTTAGCCTGGCAAAAAACCATTCGACTATCACTCCAAAATCCAAAAGTCCCCCTTTTCCTCGAAAGGGAATTGAGCACCGTTTAGTAAACGTAAAATTGCTATAGTTAGATTTAAGAAAAACGACAACCAAGTTTTGCTTCACGTAATGAAGCCAATTACCCGAGAAGCGGAAACACCTCCGGGGCATTACTTTTCAGAGGGAGTTTCCCAAAAAAACTGTGAGGGCGAGAGACAGAGAGAGAGAGAGAGAGAGAGAGAGAGAGAGAGAGAAAGAGGGAGAGAGTGTCGCTTGAAGAGACCCACCCACAAATTGCTGATAGGGTTAACTGATTGGCTTTATTTGTGCGTTTGTATGTGTGGTGAGATGGGTGGCTAGTGTGGTGTGGCCGTTCTTTCCTACCCCACTCGCTGCTTCTTTCCTTTCCTTTTCTTCTACTTTTTCCCCCTTCTGCTTCGTTGCGCCGATTCCTGCGGCACCCTCGGCCCGGCCGGCCAGCACGCCCCGAGTGTTTTCCGCCGCCCACATATAGCCGGGCCGGGGCGGGGGGATCGGTTGCAGCTGGAATATCCCTCCCCCAACACCACCCTGGCCAGGGCCGGTGTGCCAAACTTTCAGACGCCAATTGAACCTGATTTTCTTACGAATAATACAGTTTCAAGAGTTTTAGAGGTACTGAAAGGGGCCAGGAAAGCACGATTGTACATTTTTACCCAAAAAAGTTTGCATTTTCATTTTTTTTTCTATGCAAAAGCTGTGTAAAATACTATAAAACCGGCTTCTATCTCTTTTATAAGACCGTACGGGATAGCAAAAGCAAAAAAGCCTCAAAAAGCTATAAATGCTATAATTCCTGCGACGCATATTCAATTTTCTCAAGCTTGTCAGCGTTTATAGCGCTCAGAAAGACTCTAAGATCCCAATTAAACCTCTTATAAATTTCTTCAGATATTCAATCGTTAATAATAAACTTTAATTCCGCAAATTTATAAAAAGAAAATTCATTAGATCGGCGTTTAGACTTCTTAAAACTCTCGCATCCATCAAAACCCGGGAAATGCCGATCTTTGCAAAATGAATTCCAATTCCTTATGAAAAGTTTGGCCCGTTAAATTGTACAGAATATCATTGCTTTAAAAGCAGATTAATATCCGCCTTTTATTGCCCTTGAAAGTCCCGATTTTTCAAGATCCATGGCGTTTTTTTGCTCTACCGGCCCTTATTCTCTAATTTTTCCTTAAATTGACGTTTGTTTACGTGTTTTCTATGAAACTCTCTCTCCCTTCTTTGGTATCAAATCTCATCTAATATTTGCTCTTTTGCAGTCCTAAGATCCGGAACCTGGGGCCCAGCACAGACAGCAACACAGGGGGACCCCGACGGGGACACGCGCGAGCTGGCCCAACAGCTCCCATGTGCTAATATTGCCTGGCGGCAATAGGTGGGCCTTGCTTTTTATTGTTTAAAAAATGTAGTTAAAATTATAGCAAAATTACAAAATTCCAGCACTTTAAAAACATCTATTTTAGCTCAAGGAGGCTAGAAAAATAGCTAAAAAGGGTGCCAAAGTCATAAAAAGTCGGCAAAAGGCGTTTTATTTCCAGGAAACGTTGGTCAAAACGACTAGGAACAATATAAAAGCCAAATTAAACAAAATTAAACTCAGAAAAAGTTTGAAAATATTCGATTACGCAATGCAACCCCGATTCCGGGGCGTCCACCGATCAGATTGTTGTAAAGCGTAGCGCCCCGTACTAGCGACCAGGCGGAAGTTTGAAAGTTTTGCCAAACTAGCCACCGCCACCTACTCGAAAACGTTGGAACTTCTGTGTGTGCAGCATGTTTTCCGAGTGCAATGGTCGGTTTTTTGGGTTTATAGACGTTCTAAAAGCGTTCTCAGGCGAATATATACAATTTTTGGGCTTTAAAACCTAGCAGAATCATTCGAAAACCTCGATTTCACGCCAGAAATCGGCTCCAAGAACAAAATCGATACCCCCGGTTATGAGTCAAGCCGGCCGAACGGTCCCGTTGACTCGAATTTGACTAACGCAGAGATCGCCGGGGCGGCGTCATCGCTTTTTGCCGGCGATTAGCCTGCAAAATTGGCATAAATTTTTAGCAGACCCTTGAAAATTTCTCATTTTTCCAGGTGGAATGACCGTAGTTGCTAGTTATGGAATGGTGCTCTGTGGCAACTCGGATAACGTGCAACGGCGGTATCGCAGTCGAATCGAGAAGTGGGTTTTTATTGGAATTTATGGTTTTGCATTGTTTTTCGTGTTTTAGGACTGAAATTACTGAAATTTCTAGTGATCACCACTGTAGTTTGGCTATTTCCGGTTAATTTTATGGATTTCGTCATGTAAATTTATATTTTTCCAGACTAACATTGCAAGAACTCGGCTTTTAAGATGTTTTAGCTAGTTCTTCATGGAAATTGGAGGGATTTATCGTTTTAGCCTCTTTCTAGTGAGGAAATTCTATTTTCGGAGTAATTTAGATGGTTCTTTTTAATTTTCAGGTCTTTGACGCATCGTAGGTTATTGAAAAGCCTATAAATAGAAGTAAAAATTTTAAACGGGGTTTTGGGAGTTTTTTTTGGCTGGTTTTTAGCGGGTCCACGATGCTTTTTTGCTTATTTTACGCCCAGTGTTTGAATCCTGCCTTCCGGCTGATGCTTACACCCTTTTTTCAGGGTGAAATTCGGGGTGCCGATCAATGAGGCGTTCACCCACGACATCCCCGCCACCCTACTCGTCCTATTGCTCAAGGTTCGTTGCCCGTGCAGAGTTGGCTGGAATTTGCGGAATTTTAGGTGAACAAAGAGGGGCCGCCAAAGAAGGACATATGGCGAGCTCCCGGAAATCAGGCTCAGGTGAGGGAAAAATGACGTTTTTGTGAAAAGAGCTTTATAAATTCGTTGTTTTTGCTACTTTTGACGTTTTTCTAGGGACACCGACCTCTATTTGCTTTTCTGAATCTCCCTAGCACGCTTGTGAATCGAATTTTACTACTTTAGTCGGGATTTTTTGACTTTTGATAGTCCAAGTTCTTTTATATAACGTTTCGAAGCCCGTTTTTCGTTTAAACTTCTTTTAGAAAGTGATTTCAGTCCCTTTCTAGCTCAAAACAAGCTTCGATGGACTTTTCCTCGTCATAGACCTGCAATAATTGACGCATTTTCTGTTTGAAATTTTGCACAGAGTCTTCGTTCGCTTTTTCCTAACGTTAGGGAGCTTCAAACGTGTTTTCCTGATCAGAAACCTTGAAAAATGCACTTATTTGCCGCTTCAAATTTGCTGTGAAACGAGTTTTCACCCTTTTTGTGCTTTCTATGGCGTATAATGGTCGCAAATGGCTTTTCTTCTTAGGAAAGCCGGAAAAAGAATTTTACTTTCTTTTTTTGTTTCAAAATTGATCTGGGACTTCTTTTTACCCTCTTTCGCGCTTAAAAAAAAAACTTCAATCGCATTTTCATCGGGTTAAACTGCTCAAAAACCCTTCAATTTCCCCATTTCCAGGTCCGCAAACTGTCCAACATCATGCAACACGGCCGGCTCGTGAACATTGCCAATTTCTCCGTCTACACGGCGGCCAGCGTCATCAAGGTGATCAGCCCACGCCTCGCCGCGCACACTAATCACATTTCTATTTTCAGAAGTTCCTCTCCAAGCTGCCCGGTGGAATTTTTGGTATCGAAAATGAGCAGCTGCTCTTTAACAGCGTCAGCAACTCGGACCCCGACAAGCAGCGCCAGGTGTTCTGCAGGTATTTCGGGGCTCATTAGTTGGATGGCGTAATCGGTTGTTTTTAGCATATTCTCCCGCCTGCCGTTGCCATCGCAACATCTCCTCGTTTTGCTGTTCGGCACCTTTCGGATGGTGGCCGACGGAGCCGCGGAGTATGGGACAAAGGTCAAAGATTTGGTGAATCAAAAAAAGTGAAGAAAGGAAATAAGAAGAGAAGAAGCGGAAAACCGTCAAAAATCATAAAAAAACGACAAAAAAATTCTAGGGATTTGAATTTGATGTTTCGCACCGATTGGCGGTATTTGATGAATTTTTTGGACAATTTTCGCACTAAAAATTTTTGTCGATTTTCTCGAATATAAACCCAAAGAGATCGCAAACCGTTACAAATATCATAAAAGTATGGCAACGATTTTGTAGTAATTTAAATTCGATTTTTAACGCCGCTGGATGGCTGAATTCGTCGTACCGAGATTTTAGCGCGATGTTTTACCTAAAATTTTTATCGATCTGCCGAATATAAAGCCAAATTAAAGCCAAGAAGCGTTAAAAATTATTTAAAGACCGCTAGGAAAATGATTTAGTGATTCGGTTTTTAGTCGGAATTGGCGTGTTTTCCATGGGAAATTATATTTAGCGCGTTTTTTTTTGTCCAAAATGTCGATCGATTCTCTGGAATGTAAAAAATGAGAAGCTGAGAATTGTTAAAAATTTTGTAAAAACATGGGAAGTTTCGTGCATGGTTCGATAAAATTTAGGATTTTTGAAAAATGCTATCCGTGCAATTTCTGGCCTGAAAATTTGGCAGTTTACTCACCAAAAATCTAGGAAAGGTGTAATTTCTATTTTCAGATGACCCCCGAAGCGATCGGCATCTCCGTCGCGCCCTCCCTCTTCCACTCCTGCATCCACGAGGGCCAAAAGGTACCCTAGATTTTGTAACTTGATTTTTGCTTTTTTTAGGTCAAAGTGGAAGACGTCGAGCGGTTCAAGCTCGCCAGCCAGGTCGTCTCCAACATCGTCAAGTCGTTCGGGCACACGACGTTATTCCCCAGGTATAAATTGGCTTAAAAATTGTAGAATTAAACATGAAAACGTTAAATTAAATTAGGTTAAATGAATTTTCCAGGGAATGCTACGAGTTCTACGCGCGGATAACGGGCCGCACGCTGCGCTACGACCAAAACGCCGCCTGGGTGTTCACCTTCCAGTATCCGTCAAGTAAGTGGTGTTTTTTGGCGTTTTTTTTTTCTTGGATTTTCACACCCACCCCCCGGGCACCTCCAAATGTAGCAGCCGGTTGATTTCGATGCCTTTCGGTTTTCCTTTTGGCTTTTTGGGTTTTTGCGGGTTCTTTTGCAATATCAGGGGGGTATTTGTCTTTAGGATCAGATTTTTCTAGTGAAAATAGAATAATTGTGTCTATTTAAACGTAAACATCTTCCAAACTCTTTTAGAAAAAAGATATACGAAAATATAGATTTTCCGACCGTAATTGGCCGGTTCGACCAAATGAATTTTTAACATTTTAAACGAGTTTTTATGTAATTTTTCAGTTAAAATATCGCTAACTTTTGTCACAAACGGATGATAATACTTTTTATACGCCGGAAACAAAAATTAGCCGCCTCCCCCCGATATTGCAAAAGCACCGGTTTTTGGGTGGGAATTTTCGGGTTGGAATGGATTAGAAAGCAGTAGAGCTGTTTTTTTTTGGAATTCTTTTGCAACCACCCCGACTATCAAACTATCCCATCCGTTACTACTAGAGTAGATTACTGTATTTTAACACTTACCTATCGAAATCGGCATGGTAGAGCTTCGTGGATAACTCCCGGCAATGTTGCGAAACAATGCTTCACCAACCCCCTAATCTAACCCGTCTGGAGCTTTTTCGGCTTGGCAATTTGGGTCGGGAAAGGTATTGGATTTTTTTGGGGGTTTTAAAGGGCCCTGGAAGTGGGGATGGTCTGTGGATTTTTTTAGCTAGAGGTAGGCTAACAGCGATCGTTTGGGAATGGAAGGGGCAGGCTAGCAGAGATCATTTGGGAATGGAAGGGGCAGGCTAGCAGAGATCATTTGGGAATGGGAGGGGCAGGCTAGCAGAGATTATTTGGGAATGGAAGGGGCAGGCTAGCAGAGATCAGTCGGGAAACTTTTTACCTTGTAAAGGACCATCCCTGCTTCTCAAAAATTCCGTATAAAAATATTTTAGCGCTACTCACACTACCCCCTTGATCACAACACAACACACAGCGTTCCCTCCTTATCCCCCCACTTACCATCGTGCGCACCTCTTCCCCCTCTTGGGCAAGCAAAATTATCAAAAATCAACACAAAAATCTACGCAAGCAATAATTAATTCTCTGAGCGTGCGTGCGTGTGCGTGCCAATTTCTCAACCCTTCCCCTGGAGTTTAAAACCCACCCTACTACTACCCCTTTCTGTGACATATTGATACACAACGACACGAGCACTGTGAAACCGCTGCTGAACGCCTTGAACTGGATGCTCGGCTAAAAACTTGACTGTGCAACTACACCGAGCTGAGCAATACTAACGAAGCTACGAATATGGCTGCCTGACTAGCCGGACTAGCACGCAGCAATAGCAGAAGTACGCTGCGCTACCCTAGAGTACGCAACGCTACGCCACAACGTTCCGCTGCTAACGACACAATCGAGCGGCTGGACTTTTGTAACGCTACAACTTCTGGATCGCCCGACACGGCTTTCCATGGCAGTTTTGCGCCTCACTCTCTCTTCTATATTTTTTTGACTTTTTTAAGCTTTTCATTTTCTTTTTCTTCGAATTAACCCCCGGCACTAGACACGATTTTTCGAAGGTTTTGTAAAAGTGGAATTGCGGGGAATTTTTAAATTGGATACTGGTTTCTGGAAGCCAAAAGCGATGTTTAAACATTTTTAAATACCCGAAAAACCTACAGTTACCCTCGATTCCGCCGATTTTTCACACACACGCGTGCCCTTCTTTTGGACTCTATTTTCTGGACTAACCGGCTGAGATTTCTATGCTGGACACCAGTTTTTGGGTGGCTTTACTATTGTACTACGCTGCCCTACTATCGACGTCTCATGTTGCTGCTATAGTACACTGTCCTTACCGTAACTTACCGTTCCCCGTCACGTCTAACATGTCTCCGTCACTGTGTTTTGTCCGATATTTTTGCTTTTTGAGGAAGGTGACCCACGAAGTTTTTTGAATTTAAAGGGATTGCAAAGGCTGGCTATGGATTTCCGTTGGATTTTGCCGGGTCCGCGACACGCAACGCGTACGGGTTTAATCGATTACGCAATAGAAAACTAACTATACCTCCGGAATTTCTCAATTCGTCTGAAAATTGAACCTCATAAATAAGGCAAAGGTAATGGAAATTTGCGCTGGCGGCGTTAGGCGTGCGTTGCTTGTTGCGGACGCGGAAAAAGCTATGAGGAATCCATAGGCACGCCTTGCCAGTCCCTTTAAAAAATCAAATTTTTGGGCCGTCTTTAGCATGCATACCTTGCTATATTATTTCTCCCTCCTCCCCGACTAACCGACCTGCTTGCTGACGCCGGGATATCACACCCCCGCCTCGCCGCTAACTCTCCTCCCTGCTCCCAAAAACACTCGTCGTGATCGTTACCGGGCTTGTTCAATTTTAGTTGGCGAAGGCCAGTACGCGCCGGATATCGTCAGCGGCGCCTACCGCGCCGCCGCCATGGGCTCGTTGCACTGAGCGGGTGGTGAACTTGGCGAAGTCGTCGAGGACTCCCCTCCCTGCATCCTCATCCCACCCACCAACTACAACATGCACGTTAGCGCGCGCGCATGGCCGCCCGCCTGGACTACTGTGGCCTGCGGATGGATAGAGAGACATACTGTATTTTCGTTTTTATCGCGATATTTTCTGTCTTTTCCTTTTTTCTGAATTTTTACTTTTATTCACCGTTGCGCCCACTATCAAATTTTCCGAATAGACGTGCGCTTTTTTGAGTTTTGGAGGTGCTTGGAAGGCTGGAAATCGATCAGTGGGGCTTGGAAGAGGCGGAAAAAGTTATTTGTGCATTAAGAAAAGCTCGAAGCTTGAAGTTGTGAAGCTTTTCGAGGCCGTTTGAGCCAGCTTTTGACGAAAATTAGCGATTATGGATCTAGGCGCATTAATGAAAGATTTAAATTTAGGCTTAGATATACTTCAAAAGTTATGAAGCCAATCTCTGCTAGCTCTGGCTGCATCTGTGTGGAACTAGCAGCGATTCATTACTGAAATTTAATCTGGAAAAATTCAAAAACTTATAAATCTGCGGTTTTGGAAATTTTGGAGGCTTTTTGGAGCCTTTTCATGACTCAAAAAAAGCTCTTTGCGCATGAATAAAAGCTTGAATTTCGTAGTTTTCTGAGTTTTTGAAGCTTTTTGGGAAATGTCGACAAGATTCCGCCCTACCTGATCGACGCGCCAGCCTTCCATAGCCCTTTAACACGTATTTCTTTCCCTATCTCCTTTATTTTCCTTTTTTTCCTCCTTTTCTTACGTTTCCCCATTTCACCGTGCTGCCCGTTTTATCGTGTTTGTGCATCCCCAGTTCGGCCATTTTTTCATTTCCACCACCGCACCACCATACCCAAATATACCCAAAGACCCCCATCCCTGTCCCTCAATTTTCCGTTTCGTTCCCCTGAACGCCCTCCCCCACCGGTCCCCTATACTTTTGCCTGGAACCTGTGAAACTGTGCGCAAATAGAGTAAGCTGGTAGGGACGGGGGTGACGACGACGACAGGGAGATGGCGATGCCGGGCTGGCCACCTCCCGGCTTGGCCGCCCGGCCCGTTATGTGAACCCGGAACGGTTTTTGTTGAATAGGAGTTGGGAGCGTGAAGATCGCGTCGCCTTTTCTGGGGACGGCAATTTTGGTGGGGGTCGGCGAAAAATTGGGATCAAATGTCGAAGTTAAAGTTTTAAATTCATTTTTAAAGAAATGAAGCCATGAGCCTTTAAATTGTATGTTTAAAATTCTCTGGACAATTTATCTAAAAGTCTAAAGCTCAATCCTTTCATAGTGGCTGAAATTATTTTTAAACTTTTTAATGACATTTGAGCCTTCATAGCCTGTAGATGATCAGGCTAATTGTTTTTGGTTAATTACTCCGAAAATTTTAATCGAGTTTAGCAGCTTCTAGCCGCTTTGGAAGCTCGAAAATTTCGAAAATCACTCCAAAATATTGAAAATTATATCAATTAGCGATTTTCGAGTTAGTGATTTTGGCTGTTGTTGAACGTTTTATAAAAATATAAAGTTCCAAAATGATAAAATTGTTCCGCCCTCGATCCATCGTCGCCACCCGGTTTCCTGCACCCTAAAAACTCTATTTTCGGCTGGAAAAGCGCCAAAACTCAGCATCTTCTCACGCTATTTTTGGGCTTGAATCTATGTCCATGGATTCTGCTTCAATGGTCCTTTAATGACGCAAAATCCAGCCCAAAAATAGCTTACCCCACTTTCCGACACCGAGAAACCACAACCCCCGTTTCCGCACTAACCCTATTAACACACCCGTACGATCCGTGTGACACTACGTACGTACTACGGTCACTCACTTGTAGATGTTCGTGACGCCTCGGCGGCGACGCTCGGCTTCGTCGCCGCGCAGTGCGGCGCCGGCGCGTACTCGATGACCGCCCTCCACCTCGTCGAGCCGTCCACCAGCAGCGACGCCCCGGACGCCCCACCCGGCGCGTCAATCGCCGGAACTTCCGGTTCCGCCGTAGGGGCGCGCCTGCTTCGCGGCGGCTCCCTCCATCGGCACGCCGTGACGGCGGCAGCTGTAGCAGCACATCAGCACGCGTGCGCGGCCGCCCAGTCGGGTACCGTATACCCATGCCCCGTCGAACCGCTATTCCGCGGTGCGCACGCGGACGCGGACATCCGCAACAGTGTCTCCTGTGATTTCTAGCGATGGCTGTGTGCCGGGGCTGGTCAAGCGCGAGCGTTACGTTGCGTTGCGTTGCTTAGTGTTGCGTAGCGTAACGTAGTCGTCGATTTTGAAATAGTAGGAGTCGTTTTTTTTAGCGTAGGGTTCTACTGTGTCCGAACTGGATTCACGATTTAATTTTCATGGCGTAATCGGTTTTCCGAAATCATGAAACTTTAATTTTTTTTTGTATTTGCTAAAAATACTAAGAATTTTTATCTTTTTTGTAGCGTAGTCGTATGATTTGGAAACGTTTTGATTGCGTAATCAATTGATCGTATCATTTAAAAAATACGACGTAATTTTCTGAGGTTTTCGACTTTGATTTTGACTTGCCACCCCCTTTAAAATGGGATTTTCCGTTTTTCGATTCCCAGTTTTTTTTTTTTTTTTTTTTTTTTTTTTTTTTTTTTTTTTTTTTTTTTTATAAAAAATTTTTTTTTAATTTTTCTTAATTTTTTAATTTTTTAAATTTTTTTTTTAAAAATTTTATTTTAAAAATTATTTTTTTTTTTTTTTTTTTTTTTTAATATTTTTTTTTTTAAAAAAATTATATATTTATATTTTTATTTATTTTTTTTAAAATTTAAATTTTTTTTTTTTTTATTTTTAATTTTTTTTTTTTTTTTTTTTTTTTTTTTTTTTTTTTAAAATTTTTATATAAATTTTAATTTTTAATTTTATTAAAAAATTTTTATAAAATATTTTAATTTTTAAAAAAAAAATTTAATTTTTATAAAAAAAATAAAAAAAAAAAAAATTAAAAAAAAAAAAAATTTTAATTTTTTTTTTATTTATTTTTTTTTTTTTAAAAATAATTTTTTTTTTTTTTTTTTTTTAAAAAATAATTTTAAATTTTTTTTTAAATTTTTTTTTTTTTTTAAATTTTTTTTAAATTTTTTTTTTTTTATATTTTATTTTATAAAAAAAAACCTTATAAAAGTACGCAACGCTACGCGCGCGCTCGACCAAATCCGAGGTGTCTCCTCATTTTTATTGACCACACTAATATCCGTGTTTTTGCGGTTGTTTTTTGCTCTCTTTCTCTCTAATGGATTAATATCATCTCCTTGTTCGAGCATCGGGTCCGCGCCTCACACCCCCTTACTACTGATTTACGTTTGGTACGTTACCATACGTTTTTTGCGTCCCCCGTTTTTCCGCTCCACACCTCCGTACACATTCCCTAACCCCCCATCATCTGCTGCTGTCATTAAATTAATTGCGTGTCCGGGCGTGTTGTTTTTGCGACTTGAGGTAGAGCTCACTTACACCGAATTTTCTCATGCGTTTTTGGGGCCCGTTTTGTAACGTTTAACTCCGGAATCCGTCATTTTTGACCCCCATTTACCGTAACCCGACCCTGGCCCTCTTTTGGGCCCCGCCCCCTTGATGTATACCGGTAAAATGGTTGTGGGGGGAATTGGCTGAGGCGTTTTTAAATTTTTGGGTATAATTAGGTGTACTTTGTAGCTTAGGAGCTGTGGATTTTTGACCTCTGGTGTCTTAAAAATTTGTGCACAAGCAATTGTATTAAGACTACAAATATCGTTTTGAAGGTGGCATTTTCGGCTTCAAAGCGTTTTTAAAAAATTTTCCTTGTTAAAATTGGCTTGAGGAAATGTTGTAGTTTGTATATTAAGACGAGCTGACTTTAAGCTACCTTTAGATAATTTTCTCGAAACATAAATCGCATCGGAAATTAAAATATTGTTTTGTGGGGTGTTGCTTTGGGTTTTAAAGTACACTTAAATACTCTGAATTTGATAAAAAACGCCTCGACCGCTCCCAAAAAAAAACCCCTCGAAACAACACACATCTCATCTCATCCCCCTTTCTCCCACTTTCTGTGAAGTCTACGTGGCTGTTCTCTTCTGAAACCCCCCCTAATTAATGAATTCTTGTATTTTCAGTTTTTATAATCGTTAACCCGTGGAATGTCGACTATCGCCTAGTTGCTCGTCCATAGTATAATCCCGTAACCTACCTTAAAAACACGCCTCCTCAAAAAAATCCAAACAACCCAATCCGACTACCAATTTGCTCGTGGCACATTGTCTTTCATTGGCCGCCCACCCTCTGTATTTTTAATTTTTCGATTTTTTTTGACCCCGCCCGCTCGTCTCATCCAAAAAATCCAGTTGCACAGACAAAGAAACACATTTCCAGGCCCTTTTTCTCTCTCGATAATTTGTGGACCGTGTTTTTCTTATTTTTTTAAAACTTTTTGGCTTTTTCCATTACTTTACACGATACATTCATTTTTCACGTTACGGCCGCGCGTCCGGCCGTCGACACAAATAAAGCATATTTTGAATTTTGACGATTCAAAAATCACACTTTAAAATGTAGATGATTAACACTGGAACCAGCAACGTAGTGCTAGTGTGTAATACGGTAGAGTACGGTAGAAACCGTAGAAACCCTAGATTACGGTAGAAAGAGGAAATTTGGGAAAGCAAACTTAGGAAATCAGGAATTAGACTCCCAAATTTTAGAGACTTTTAGGGGGGATTTAGCCGGTTTCTAGCGGGCATAGATATTTTTGACTTTTACCGCTTTCTTTAGGGCTCGACACGCCGGGGCCAAGCGATGCCGCCGCGCCACACGACATTGACGAGCCGGGCCCCTCCAACCGCGGCATGGACGACGAGAATCAGAGGTGAGAAAGTTCCCGGTTTTAAAATAATTAACTTTGGGTTTTTGGTGGGTTCTCTCTCTTTCTCGCTCTTTCTCTTTCTCTCACCTAATTCCTCAATTCCAGACCGGGCCCGTCGCACGAGCACGCGGAGGTGCGCATCTGCATGGACAACACCGCCTCAGCCCCCGTCAGTGAGCGCACCACCGCCCACTACCCCCATCAGCGCCTCAGCAACCGCTTGAGCTGCTCCGTTGGCGAGGTGAGGCTTTTCGTTTCGTCTATTTTTCCCAGTAATCCTCTGTCCTCAGTAGCCCTCAGCGAGATATGAACCAGTCGGATAGCTTTTTGCGTTTTTTTCATATCAGCAAGTGCTGAAATTCTAAAAATCATGAAATCCGCATTTTTTTATTTACTTTCTGGTCAAAAATCTATGAAAAATCGCTGAAGAAGGTCAAAATTGCGAATTTTCCAAATTTTTAGGTAGTTATACAGCTTGCTAGAAGTCGAAAACTACGAAAAACTCTAAAAATGATTTATTAGTACAATAAAAATTATTTATTAGATTTCGCCGGAAAAAAAAAAACGAAAATTAGTTCCCACCCCCACTAAGAGGTCAGTACCATAGAAAGCAGGGCCTCGACGCGTGACTTCCACGGCCCTTCAACCTCAAAATTTCCCGATTTCAGGTCCTCTCCGCATCCGCCGAGGCCGAGCTGTGCGCCATCAGCCCGTGCTCAAACCTGGCCGGCCACCACGAGTCCACGCGCTCCCTCTCCGTGCTCGACTCGGTGCACGAGATGCAAGCGCGCCGAATGCAGAGCCGCAGCCAGTGGTAGGGATTGGTTTCTTGCTCCTGATGCTTACCGCAGTGACCTCAGGTTCCTGTCGCCGACGATGGGCCGCAACGGGGCCGCGTGGAAGCGCGAAGCCGAACGTCACGCCGCCGCCGCGCACCGCGACCCGTACCATGGGGGCGCCACGTCGAGCCTGTCCGCCCAGACGTACGAGGAGCAGCAGGGCAGTAGCCGTGAGCCGACGCCGATCAAGGTGAGGTTTTTTTCTTATTTTCTAGAACTTCTAAATTAAACTGAATTTTATGTTTAATTTTTTTTGAAAAGTGAATTTTTTATCGTATCTTTTGGTTGTTTTGTTGTTTTTCTCTTTCTGGTTTGCTAGTCAGTGCTAGCTGGGCTTTGTTCTGTTTTTTTTAAAGGGAGCCTGCCAGCCAAAAATTACTTATTTTTGGTTTATTTTGTAGTGTAAAATGTTTTTCAAAGGTACGAGAGGCGAAAGGTCATGCTCCCTTTAAAATTTGTGGCGTCCCGCTTAATTTAATTTAGTAGTTTGTATTTTGGTTCTGGACCGTTAGCGAGGGGACAAAATTTGTATTTCCCGCTTATCCTTGGTAACAATATATAATTTTTTTATTTTAGTATTGATATTGTTGTTAAGAATTTAATTGGTTTTTTAATCCATCTTAATAGTAATTGTCAAAATATTTAAAAAATGATATACGAAAATTTGGACCTTTTTTGGGCCATTTTTGGCCAAAAAATCAAGAATTTTCGGAATTTTCTGCAATGTTCTGCGTTCTATTTATATCGTAAGCGGTGTAAAATGCTATAAAAATGGGTTGGTTTTCGTCATAGGGCCGTACGGGATTATTATGAAAATTTTAGTCCGTTCGCTACCACCCCCGCTAATAGTCCAGTACCTCAATTTTTTTGCGTCGTGTCGTCCCGCTTATTCTAACCCTGTTGCAGTCGCGTGACCTGTCGTGCCCGCCCACCACCAGCTCGTCGGCCCCTCCCGAATTCACGCTCGAGGACGTCGTCATGGAATTCCCGGAGTCTGGCCGCCAAATTTCCGCGCCGCTCCCCGCGACGTCAGCTGCCGCCCGTTCGACGCCACCGCCCCTGAGCGTCACCACCGTCCAGGGCCACGAGTACGAGATGGTCAAGTGCTGCGCGGCGTCCCCGGGCTGCGTCCGCATCAAGCACACGTCGCCGCGCCAGGAGCAGCACCGCCAGTTCCAGAACCTGCTGTCCTTCTGGAGCGAGCAGGTATTTTTTTTTTGGTTTGGTCCTTGGTTATCAGTGTCGTTGTGCGCTTTTTGGTTGTGTTTTTGGAAAGGTGTAGTTGCCGTAGTTGTACCGTCATCCTGTCGCGTTAACATGGCTTTAAAAGCTTGAGAGTTTTTGAGATATATAATAGCATTTTTGCGCCTCTAAATGGATTGGAGCGTTTGGCGTCGACTTAAAGGAGCTCAAACCTTCTAGCGTCTAAATCTGGTGGCAAGCTGGCAAAACTCATTGAGAAATTCTGAAATTCCAGAATTTCGAATTTTGACTATCTAGCCCCGGCTTGAAGGCGTTGAAAGACCGCTGTAAAAGAGGTTGGCTACCAAAAATTCTTTGGGAAATTTTCGTAGCCATTTTGACCAAATTTTGACCATCTAGCTCCGGCTTCAAGGACTTCAAACGGTTCTTGCCATGTGTATCGGGGGCAGGCTAGCAGAAATTCTTTGGGAAATCCCGGAAGCTTTGAATTTAATTTACTAATTCGCGCAACTTCAAGGAGTTCAAACGTTTTTGTTAAGAAAATCGGGGGCAGGCTAGCAGTAATTCTTTGGCGAAATTGAAAGACCAAGTTCGATTTGAAGATTGTGAGAATTAGGCTATTTGTTTCAGAAGCCTGCCCTTCGCAGCGTCACCGACTCGGCCAACCCCAGCCAGCCGAACAGCGCCGAGCGCCAACCACTATCCGCGTGTCGCCAGGAATCTACAGAGGGCCAGGTATTTTTTTTTGTTTAATGTTTTAATGGGCTGATTTTTAGGAGCGCCACTCGGGCCACTGGCCGGCCGTCACTACGCACCCCGAGATCGCCGAGAAGACCGACGAGAACACGGCCGCACAAGCGATCACCCGTCGACGTTCGTGGCGCACGCACTACGTTCGCCCGCTGCGCGACAACGATGTGGCGGTACGTTTTTGGTCGTTTATCGGGCTTTGCGCATGTCGATTGGATTTTTACCAAATTTACAAAATTACAAATTTTACAATTTTTCGCTTTTTAAAGTGGATTTGAAATGGTTTGTAAGTCATTTTTATCAATTATTTTAGACTCTTGGCGGCGGCTCCCTTGATGCTGATGACCACCCGGCCGTGTTGGCTAATACGCGAGGAGTCGGCCACGCCCATTCGCTTGGAGGTGAGCGTTTTTTATTGCTCATTTAATCGATTCATAAGCAGTTAAATAAGGTTTCACGTAAACATCTAATCATTTTCGTTTACAAAGAGATTATAAGCTGCGGAAAATGTGTACTTTTGCAAATTTGATCGAAAATGACCAAATATTTTCAAAAACTTGAGATTTTAAAGATGTGTGGTTTTTAACGAGGTTTAAAAAGCATTTTTTCAATCGAAAAAAATTGAAAAATTAGTTTGAAGTTGGTTTTCTAAAAGTTAAATTTTGATTTTTTTTTTCAGGCGACCGCAGCCTCGCCGACGCGACCGGCAGCGGTGGCAGCAACGGCTCGGGCACGCCCAACCGGAAGCGCTCGCTGAAGAAGAAGATGAGCACCAAGTTCTAGCCGTACGCCTTCGGCTCGTCGTCATTCTCGTGCATCAAAATCAATGTTTCCCCCCGTATATAATCGATCCCCGTTCTACCACATGTCCTTCACTTTTCGCGATGTCACTTGCGTTTTGTTGTCCGTTTCCCCCTTTGTGTTTGTGCTTTTTTTTCTCGCATCTGGATGCTCTTGGGGGATGCCACAAATTTTTGGCATTAAAGGGCTTGTCCTCCTTGTACTTGTCCCCTGAAAATTGAGCCGCAACTTTGCAACTGACCAGCGCACGTCTTTCACCCGCCTCTCTTCTGCGATTTTCTAGGGTTTTTTTTGTATTATTATCGCGAATTATCACGACCCTGTTTTTGATGAATTATCAGGCTATGTGAAGTTTTCGGTAGCGTGCTGTTAGCGGGGGGAGCGATTTTTAACGGGGGTGGAAAAGCTATTTTGCTATGCTATACGCACCTGGCAAAATTTGCGATTTTAGACTATTTTTATCGCGTTTTTAGCAATTCTTAAATCACTAAAATGTTCTAAAATTTTAAAAAAAAGAATTAATTAAATACATTTTTGAAAATCAAGAAAATTTGGCTGATTTTTTATCCCCCCCGCTAACAGATCAGTACCCTACCCGCCAATTGTCCGGCTCTCACTCCATTTCTTCACCCTCGTCGTCGCTCACCCCAATTCCACTAGCACCCGGCCGCCATCCTGTTGATCGTCTCCCACTCCACCCCTCACCCTCACTTCTCCGTCTCGTCGATTGATTAATATGTATTAATGGGCTTTCACTGAACCATACACGCACGCACACTCACGCGCATATATGCACCTGTTCTCCTGGCTACACATGTACTTTGACATGTACACATTGAACTCTCTGGCTCCGTCGATTTTTCAGAGGTTTTGGTTGTGGAGATTTTTTTTTGACGTCAGGTTCGAGCTGTTCAGGGGTGAGGCTTGTCGTTTTCGGGCTTTACAACGGGTTTTTTAGCCGAGTTTTCGGTTTTGCGTTGAACGCGCCGAACTTGAGCTCTGACTTTTTTGAGTTGGGCTTGGAAATTATGGCTTCAAAAACCTACTTGTGAGGGCGCTTCGGCTGAAGCTGAACTCCTCCATGTTCAAGTTCGGAGCGTTTTACCAGCTAAAAGCCCAGGTTTCTGCTTTGAACTCGCCGAACACGAGCTCTGGCTGATGGCTGAAGCACGAATAGGCCTAGAAAAACTCCGGTTGGCGTCCTTGAACTTGAGGGGGAAGGAAGCACAATCCCAAGAAGTTCACCCTACGATCGATAAAATCTGAACAGCTCGAACTTGTCGGCACCGAAATCCCGACCCCACAGATTCCCTGAAACTTCTATTGTCCGTTCCGTCGCCTGAACCCTGAGGCTTATCCCCCACGCTCGCCCCGTTCCGCACTCACTCACTATACAACCCAACCAAAAACACATTCCAAAAAGCGGCGGCCCGTTTTTCTTGCGTGGCGCCGCCGCGTAGCTCATCTACAGTTATTTACAGGGTGGCTAGAAAGTATTTGCCGCAGGGAAAGCTCCTTAAGAAATTCTCCGTGTCCGGCTTCTTTGCCATTTTATAACCAAAATGTAGCAAACAGACCCCTCTTCACGACTATCAAAAAGACTAACACCCTAGACCTCAGATTTTTAAGATACGGTCCTTTAGAGGTGTATCCAAACATGGGCCTGCGCCGCACGTATTTTGACTTTAGTGTTAATCTTTTCAATTTTTGCTTGCAACCAATCAGAACAGAAATTTGGATTTTTGTTTATTGCAAGGCCCTTTATTGGACGTATCAACCAGAAAAATTCGTTTTAGCCGTATCGAAAAGCTTTTCGCTATTTTCTTGAGCGCCTAAAATGAGCGGAACAAGGTGTTTTTGGAGCACAAATACAAAATGTCTTAAACAACCACGTTTTTATGCGGAAAATATTATTTCTGTTGTGAACGCAATAAAACCAACCGCGTGGTTAGGAAAAACTCATTGGATAGCCGTAACTAAAATTATTGCGGGCACAAAATAATAATAAGTTGCACTTTCTTGCCGTTGGTTTCGAACGATCTTCAAATGCTTGAGGCCGGCGTTTTCAATTATTTTGGTCCTAGTCAAAGTGTCAGCCTGGTAGGCTTATGCATTATCTATATTTTAATAGTAAATTTAGGGCAAGTTTTCGAATTAATGATTTTTAAAATCCATTTTTGTGCGGCAGATGGTTGCCAGCCACGAATCTCGGCGCACCCCACTAGCAAAATTTTACTTTCACTTCCGTGATCCATCTAAGTATCGCGGTGCCCCGAGCATAATTTTTTTAGATAGTTTCGTTAATGGTTTCTACGATACAGCACCGGAAAAGAATAAGATATCCCCTAAGAAATTTTTCGAGGCTTTCGAAAGTGCCGAAAACCAATACAAAAAACGAGTTTTTATGTATTTCAGTCTAATTAAAATTATACGTGCAAGCATTTGCTAGTTTTTATATATCAATCGATAGAGCAAAAAATGCTCTTCCGAATACACCCCACTAATGCACCTGTCGTTGGAATTTTAGCAGATTAAAACCAGCGCGAAAGCGCGGCAAATACTTTCTAGCCACCCTGTATGTCTCCTTGTCCGCTTGCGTTTTTTATTATGAAAGCAGATCGTTCGTAGAACCGATATCGAGTCTCTCACTCTTTCTTTTGGCCGCTTCTTTCTCCCCTTTCAGCGTCTACCCGTCTATGCAATGAAATATGACTTTTCGAATTTCGCCGTGTCGAAATAAATTCATTGTTTTTTGGAGTTTATTTTACAATACATTTCAAAAAAGTTAAATAAAAGAATTCCCAAGCGAATTTGATTAGGGAGCGGGAGCGAGAAAGAGAGAGAGAGAGAGAGATGAGAGAGAGAGAGAGAGTGAGAGAGAGAGAGAGAAACCCGCAAAATCTACCTTGGCAAATTATGCAAATTTGAAAACTAAAATTTGCATTCCGAATGAAGATGAAGGTCAACAACCATAAGAAATGCGTTATACTTCCCCCACAACCGTTTCAATGGACGGTATCCCGTTTCACTGGCAGGCGCTGGTTGAGAGTGGAACCGTCATCTACCAAATGATACTTCCTCCTGGTACGTTACTGAAAAATTGTTATGCGCCAAAATCGACCCCTTAGACTGGCTAGGTCTAGACAGCTTTTCGCATCATAGCCTTCTCCTTCCATTCCCAAATGATCTCTGCTAGCCTGCCCCTTCCATTCCCAAATGATCACTGCTAGCCTGCCCCTTCCAATCCCAAATGATCTCTGCTAGCCTGCCCGTTGCGTAGCTGTCTAGATCTAGTCGACGAAAGGGGTCGATTAGTTTAAATTTGCTCACGCTGCTTCAGGCGTGATCATCTTCGTGACGGTGCTGCTACGCTACCTGATTCCACACATTTTCCCAGATTGGCATGGTGGAAGTGCCGAAGGAGAGGAAAGCGTTGATGACAATCGAGTCTCCGTCTACGTCGACTTGGCCCCGGACACCTCGGAGACGTCCGACTACGCCGGCAGATGGAAGGCCGGATTTTTCAAGAGGGGCTTCAAGAAGGCGCTGCTGAAGAAGGGCGTCGACCCGAAATTGATCAACATCACGCTCGAGCTGCTCGACGATGGTGATGTGATGTCTGTGACGGAGGGATCTGATCCAGGCGTCGAGCCTGAAAAGTTGGTGTTTTAGCCCCTTTTCGTTTCAGTTATTCTCATGTAGTTTCATAGCGTTGTTATTAGTTTTTCGTTCATAGACAATTAGAAAAAATGGTTCTTTTGCCTTATCGGGGGAGGGGGGGTGGGGAGCTTACCTTTTTCGCACTGATCTAGAAATGACTAGTATTTTCATCCGGTTTTTAGTAAAATAAAACTATATTTAAACTGGAAAGCTATCTAAAAACGTTGAAAACTTTTCAAAAAGGCGGAGTTTTAGTAAAAAACGGTCATTTTGGTCGAAAAATCGATTTTTTTGCATTTTTTTCATAAAAACTTGTACGGTTATTCGCTTAAGAAGGGCAAGGAAATAATGTAAATTTAAGAAATAATTTTTAGGCTAAACTCCAGATAAACCCCCCCAGCCGGCACCCACCTACCGTATCTCGGCTCCCTGTTCATCTACAGGTGTGTAAAGTATAGCAAAATACTCGCCACAGCAAGACGAACATTTTGGTATTACCTGTAGATGAACAGGGAGCCGAGATACAAAAGTGGGGTGCCGGCTGGGGGGGGGTTATCTGGAGTCTTACCAATTTTTAAAAACGTATTCAAAAATTCGTTCATATGAAAAAATGTCTTCCCATCCCGATAAACTAGCATCCCCCGATATTGAAACAGTACCTTTTTGAAATGTTCTTTTTTAGACCAAAGATCACGCGCCTGAAGCTGATGCTGCCGGAGGACGCCGTCCCGTTGGTGCAAAAGATGCAAGAGAAGCTGACCGTCGAGTGCGACAAGCTGCGCGCTAGCGCCGTCAAGCTCGACCACATGCTCACCATCGAGGGTACCGCCGGTAAATTCACCACCGAATTCAACCCCAAAATCCAGGAGCCGAAATCCCGCGCGACCAGCGCACCGCGCGTCTGCTGAAACTCGAGACCCTGTGGCACAAAACCCTGCGCAGCGCCCGCATCGAACTGCTCGACAAGTCCGTCTTTTGCGCCTCCGAGGAGTTTGAGAAAACGATGCCCACCGACGCGATCATTGGCCGAATTCTCTACATGGTGCCCAAAAGCGCTGCCAAGAAAGCGATGTCGGTGATCTGGAAGGCGTTGACATGTCCCACTCCCGAGACCGAAGAGACCGTGGCTGGGTTGACACTTTTGATGCGAGGAAGGCCCGGAAAGAAGCAGAAGGAGGAGTCGAAGACGGATGGGGAGAAGCCGAAGCAGCAGCCCGTCGACCAGAAATTGTGGGTGTTTGAGACTACGGGGCAGGCTGGCAGAGCTCACTTGGGAATGGAAGGGGCAGGCTAGCAGAGATCATTTGGGAATGGAAGGGGCAGGCTAGCAGAGATCATTTGGGAATGGAAGGGGCAGGCTAGCAGAGATCATTTGGGAATGGAAGGGGGCAGGCTAGCAGAGATCATTTGGGAATGGAAGGGGCAGGCTAGCAGAGATCATTTGGGAATGGAAGGGGCAGGCTAGCAGAGATCATGTCGGAATGGAAGGGGCAGGCTAGCAGAGATCATTTGGGAATGGAAGGGGCAGGCTAGCAGAGATCATTTGGGAATGGAAGGGGCAGGCTAGCAGAGATCATTTGGGAATGGAAGGGGCAGGCTAGCAGAGATCATGTCGGAATGGAAGGGGGCAGGCTAGCAGAGATCATTTGGGAATGGAAGGGGGCAGGCTAGCAGAGATCATGTCGGAATGGAAGGGGGCAGGCTAGCAGAGATCATGTCGGAATGGAAGGGGCAGCCTAGCAGAGATCATTTGGGAATGGAGGGGGCAGGCTAGCAGAGATCATTTGGGAATGGAAGGGGGCAGGCTAGCAGAGATCATTTGGGAATGGAAGGGGCAGGCTAGCAGAGATCATTTGGGAATGGAAGGGGCAGGCTAGCAGAGATCATGTCGGAATGGAAGGGGGCAGGCTAGCAGAGATCATGTCGGAATGGAAGGGGGCAGGCTAGCAGAGATCATGTCGGAATGGAAGGGGCAGGCTAGCAGAGATCATTTGGGAATGGAAGGGGCAGGCTAGCAGAGATCATGTCGGAATGGAAGGGGGCAGGCTAGCAGAGATCATGTCGGAATGGAAGGGGCAGCCTAGCAGAGATCATTTGGGAATGGAAGGGGCAGGCTAGCAGAGATCATTTGGGAATGGAAGGGGGCAGGCTAGCAGAGATCATTTGGGAATGGAAGGGGCAGGCTAGCAGAGATCATTTGGGAATGGAAGGGGCAGGCTAGCAGAGATCATTTGGGAATGGAAGGGGCAGGCTAGCAGAGATCATTTGGGAATGGAAGGGGGCAGGCTAGCAGAGATCATTTGGGAATGGAAGGGGCAGGCTAGCAGAGATCATTTGGGAATGGAAGGGGGCAGGCTAGCAGAGATCATTTGGGAATGGAAGGGGCAGGCTAGCAGAGATCATTTGGGAATGGAAGGGGGCAGGCTAGCAGAGATCATTTGGGAATGGAAGGGGCAGGCTAGCAGAGATCATTTGGGAATGGAAGGGGCAGGCTTGCAGAGATCATTTGGGAATTGGTAACACGCTATAAAATAACGATCAGCCCCCAAAAAGTGCAACTTTTTCAGAAGCGGAAATACGTGAAGTTCACCCTCTTCTTCTCTCGCCCTCCGGCCACTGGATAAAACAAGAAACAAACTACCGCCAAATGCCTTTCTCTTTCATGCAATTCGATTTGTGGCAACGAATAAATCATTTTTGTGGTTTGGAACCAATTACGCAAGCAAATTGAGCCGAGAGTTCGCGAGTTGTCAGCAAAGTAGAATATCCGATGCTTTGAATGAAGTATTTCTGAAGTTGATTTGCATGAAACGATAGCAAGAAAGACTCGGAAAACGAAGAGTCCGGAATCCGCAAAAATCATTCACTCTTCCCTGCTACCCGTTCGATGGCAGGCGTGGCGTTCGACTGGCGGGCGCTGGCCGATGATGGTGCCATCTTCTATTACCTCTTGATTCCTGGTAGGTATCGCGACTCTTACAGAAAAAAGAAAGTCGCCCGGTTCTGGACTGTTAGCAGTGGAGTTTGCAGGAAAACCACCTTTTGTTTTTGCAGGGATCCCTACCGGTTGAGGATATATTACGTATTTTCATAGTGTTTTTAGTAGCTTTTAATTGCTAGAAAATTAAAAAAGAGAAAAATTGAATTTGATATGGAAAATTCGAAAATTTTAACTGATTTTTGGTACATTGGCATACATTTTTTGACCAAAAAAAGTCTAAAGTTTTCGACAATTACTATTATTACTTTTAATATGGTTTGTATATCTAAAAGCGGGTAAAATGCCCTAAAACGGATTATCCGCCGCAGAGAGTCGCGGGGAAAAATTTGGTCCCCCTGCTAACAGTCCAGAACCCCGACCAAACTGCACTCTTACCAACTTACGCAACTTTTAGCTCTCATCGCGGTAACGACGATGCTGTTCCGCCACATCTGGGGTAAGAAGACGCAAAAGAATCTTCGTGACCTGCCGAAACCTGAACTGAAAAAACACGAAATTGAAGCAGAGGCACCTGCCGAAACCCAAGGTGCGAAAATCAGAAACACCACAAATGGCTAAAAACATAATGAAAGCATCGAAGTTTCTTAGGCAACGAGCTGAAGGAGCGCGAGAAGGAGGCCCTTGAGAAGGAGAGGTGCGAGAAGCAGGAGCGCGAGAAGGAGAGGCGTGAGAAGGAGGCCTGCGAGAAGGAGAGACGCGAGGAGGAGAGACGCGAGAAGGAGAGGCTCGAGCAGGAGAGGCTCGAGCAGGAGAAGCGTGAGCCGCAGAAGCGCGAGCAGGAAGCCCGCGAGAAGGAGAGGCGCGACGAGGAGGAGAGGCGCGAGAAGGAGGCCCGTGAGAAGGAGGCGCGTGAGACCGAGAGATGCGAGAAGGAGAGGCGCGAGGAGGCGCGACGCGAGAAGGAGAGGCTCGAGCAGGAGAGGAGCGAGCAGGAGAAGCGTGAGCAACAGAAGTGCGAGGACGAAGCGCGCGAGCAGGAGGCCCGTGAGAAGGAGAGGTGCGAGAAGCAGGAGCGCGAGAAGGAGAGGCGTGAGAAGGAGGCCTGCGAGAAGGAGAGGCGCCAGGCGGAGGAGAGGCGCGAGCAGGAGAAGCGCGAGCAGCAGAAGCGCGAGCAGGAGAAGCGTGAGCAGGAGGCCCGTGAGAAGGAGAGACTCGAGCGGAAGCAGCGCGAGCAGGAGATGCGCGAGAACGAGAGGCGCGAGAAGGAGCTGCTCGAACATGAGGCGCGTGAGAAGGAGAGGCGCGAGCAGGTGGAGCGCAAGCAGCAGGCGCGCAAGCAGGAGAGGCTCGTGCAGGAGGCGCGCGAGACCGAGAAGCGCGAGGCGGAGAGGCGCGAGCAAGAGGTCCGTGAGAAGGAGAGACTCGAGCGGGCGGAGCGCGAGCAAGAGAAGCGCGAGCGGGAGGCCCGCGAGCAGGAGCAGCGCGAGCAGGAGGCGCACGATAAGGAGGCCCGCGAGAACGAGAAACGCGAGACGAAGAGGCGCGAGAAGGAGAGGCTCGAGCAGGAGAAGCACGAGGAGGAGAAGCGCAAGCGGCAGGCGGGCGAGCAGGAACGGCGCGAGCAGGAGAAAGGCGAGCAAGAGGCGGCCGTGAAGGAGAAGCGCAAAGAAAAGGCACCTGCCGCAAATAAAAGTGCGAAAAACGAAAACAGCAAAAACAACGAATTTACAAAATAATAACAAATTTAACGAAGCTAAATTTTTAGTTCTTGGATATTACCGTCTCGAGAGGCGCTTTTTTTAAAGTTCCAATTTTTCTAAGGTAATATGCGTAAATCCATCGAATCTATCGAATGGCACTTAAAAACTCCCGAAGAAAAGAACTATTTTACCTAAAAAAAATTTATAACCTTGCTGTGGTGTTTCTCCCCTTAAAATATAGGTTAAATTTTGCCCACAAACACCTTTAAAATGCTGATCTGCTAAATTTCAGGCGCAACAAAAACGAGTGCCAAAGATGAGGAAGCTGAGGGAGCTGAGGAAGCTAAGGGAGCTAAGAAAGCTGCCGCCAAGCGTCCCGCGAAGAAAGGTGCGGAAATAATGAAATAAATAACCGCAAATTTATGCTTAGGTTCAGCTTAGGACTAGGCTTATTTTTCGGCTTACGCTTAAGCTTAGGCTTGGGCTTGGGCTCAGGCTTGGGCTTAAGCTTAATTAGTCAGGCTTAGGCTTAGGTTAGGCTTAAGCTTAGGTCGCTTAGGCCTAGGCTTCGATTGAGCTTCGGCTTCAGATTTGGCTTACAGTTAGTATGCTTAGGCTTAGGCTTAACTTACCTTAAGGTTAACCTAACAGTTAGGCTTAACCTGCTTAGGCTTACGCATAGGCTTACGCTTAGGCTTACGCTGCGGCTCAACCTGCCTAAGCTTAGGCTTAGGCTTTGTCGATTAATCCATTTTAGAGGCCGACGGGATGACCCGCGAATTGTGGACGGTGTTGGCGGTGTGCGCGGCCCTCGACGACAAGATGTTCGCCGGCGTGCCGGGCCACTGGGAGCGCAAGCTGCGCCTGGCCATCCGCGCCTGGAAGAAGTCCGTGAAGGGCAGCACGCCGACCGAACAAAACCTCAAGATCACCCTGGTGCTCATGAGCCATTCGGTGGTCATCGTCGCGGAGGAGCAGCTGCGCAACGCGAAGCCCAAACCACCACCACCACCACCAGCACCCTTCCCCCGGCGGTTGCGGCTGCGTGGTGCAGGCGGGTTTTTGGGTAGTGGACTTTTAGCGGCGGGGAAGGGGGAAGAAACCAAATTTCTCTCTGTGATCCTCTAAGGCCCCATAGCCAAATATAAACGATTTTTATAGCATTTACATAGTTTTTTTCGATAAAAAACAATATAAAAATGCTGAAAATTCTCGATAATTTTTGAATTTTTAGTCCAAAATGTATGAAAAATGACCAAAAAAATGTCAAAAGTTGCGAATTTCCGAAATTTAAAAAATATTTTTTAACTTTCTAGCATTGAAAATCTACTAAAAACACTAGAAAAATACATTAAATACGATCAACAGGCTGCAAAACAGAAAGTGGTCGCCCCCCCCCGCTAACAGTCCAGAATCGAAAAAATTTGGTCCCTCCGATAATGCAAAAGATCCGTTTTTAGACGCCCACGCCATGAAGATCATCCACCACATATACACGGTGTTCACCGGTCGCCTGTCGAGCTCGCTGTTCGGCGACACCTTGGAGAGGAACCTCGACGACGAGCTGCACGACGGCATCGAGCAGTGGCAGCGCTTCATCGCACTGCATTCGGTCGGTTTTTTTGGCGGGAATACCGGGGGTCTTCCTTAAACTTTTTTTACAATCTCTAGGCATGACAACTTTATTGATTTTTGATGAAAAAAATCTAAAAACATTAGTTCTTTCGCATTAAAAAGGGAAACCAGCACTTTTTTTCTTGTGATTTAATTTTGTAACTATAAATAGTGGAAGGGTTTACAAAAGTTTATCTTCTTTTCTAAACGTAAGAACTTTACAAAATTTGAACATTTACAAAAACAACAATGAATGACGAAAAATATAGATTTTTCGGCCAAAAAGAGTATATTTTACCGAAATTTCGACTGGATGAACGTTATTAGATCGTTTTTCTAGCTGAAATATCGTTATTTTGTAATGGAAAACCTATTAAAACACTAGCTTGCTAGAGATTTTTAGACTTATAGAATCCCCGTGCCCCCGATAATGCAAAAGAACCCAAAAAATCGTTAGGATTCGAGGTTGTTGCTGCGGAGTCTTAACAAATTTTGACGATATTTTGTATTAATGTAGGCATTGCTTTAATTGGAATTATATTTATCATCCTTTTAGTAAAATAAAACTATATTTTAACTAGAAAAACCATCAAAAATCTTTGAAAAAATTTCCAAAAGCTCAAATTTTGGTCAAAAACGTCCATTTTTGGCGGAAAAACCGATATTTTGTATTTATCTATCAAAATTTTGTAAAGTTTTTACATTTAGAACGAGTAAATAACAGCTAAAAAACACATGAGCTAAGTATTTTGAGAAATTCAATCGAGAAAAAGTTGCCCCCCCCCCCGTTAATGCGAAAGGAGCCGATTTTGTGGTTTCCAGATGCGCCCCGACGCGACGCAAGAAAAACTCCAGGAGATTGCGCAGAAGGCCCATGACAGGGCGCTTCCAGTCCTGCTGGAGGCGCTGCAGCAGCAGGACGACGATGAGGATGTCGACGGCCCGGTGAAGGTGGAGGTGTGGATCCCGCCCCTTGGCCCGTCTCCCCGTCCCACCAACCACTGCCGCAACGCCGACACGATCTACGAGACGGTGTGCGTGTATTTTGACAGCCACGGCATGGCCGACGGCGAGGCGGCCAAGATCTTGGAGACGCTCAAGGTGGGGCGAGGCTTGATAACTCCTACAGGGTGTCCCAGTAAAAAAACCCCCAGCCGACCCCCCAACTACCGTATCTCGGCTCCCTGTTCAAATACAGGGGTGTAAAGTATACCAAAATGTTTGATTTGCTCTGGCGAGCATTTTGGTTTACTTTAAACACCTGTAGATGAACAGGGAGCCGTGATACGGTAGATGGGGGGTCGGCGGGGGGGAGGGTGGGAGGATGATGTTTTCAGAAACCCCCCATAGCCGAAATCCCCTTAAAAAACTAAAATGACAACCGACCGGATACTTGGGAGAAAAAAAGGAATCAAATGGCTCCGGTGAAAATTTTCATCCACGAAACGCGCGCCACCTGGCTCACTATGTCCAAAATCACCCCAACCTCCGTCCCCCACCCCTTTTACTAAGGAAAAACCTTCAAAGTTAATTTTAATAATTTAATCGAAAACTTTTTCATAATGTTTTCAACAGTTTGGGGGTTTCTGACCGCTCTATCCGAATCCGAAAAGCCCTAAGCTCTAGCTCCTTTCCCCTTCGAGTTGAATTCGGCTTCACACAGACGGACACCACTACTTTTTTATTATGGTTGATTATAGTTGATTTTTCAGAGTCAATTCGAGACGGAGCTGAACGTGATGGGCCACAAGAAAAACGATGTGGCTGATATTGCCGTCCACACGTTCCGCGACGACACGGCTGCCGGGGACCCGCAGCTCCGCGGCGTCATCGTGTTCTTGGTGGGGGCTGTGTTTTTTTTTACTTAACCAACGTCCGGCGGCTGGAAACTACGGTGCGATTCCAATGCTTCCAGACGAACTTGGCCGTCCTCCAGAGTTTGGAGCACGTGCGCCTGGGCGCCGGCTTCTTCCACGTGCAAAAGACCGACGACCCGCGCGACGTGAAGGTGGTCGACAAGTTGCGTGCCGAGATTGGCGACGGCACGGAGGGCGAGGTCAGCGAGTTTTTATGTCGCTTTTAAGAAAAAACTTGCGTTTTTGTCTAACATCAATAACGCCAGGTTCTTTGTCATTATCGGGGGGGGGGGCTAATTTTTTTCCTATAGGGCTAAAAATTCCTTGTAAGACAATAATAAAAATGTTAACAAGGTTTTTAGCAAAATTCAGCACCAGTAAAACCAGAAAAACGATCGAATGAATTTTTAAAAAAATAAAAACTTCGAAATTTTCGTCGACATCACTCATCTTTTTGTAACAAATGGATCTTTTTGATGAAATTTTGACATTTTTGCGTTTAGAAATAGTAAAAAACACTTTGAAAGCATTTCCTCTATTTATTTTTCAAAAAAAAAAGTTGCCCTCCCCCCCCCCCGATAATGGGCAAGTACCGACGCCTTACAGGTGAAGCCGCGTCTCCCGCCTCCGAGCGACCGCCAATACTACCTTCGCCTCGTGGTAGCTGAACGCTATGTGGGGCCAAAACATCGATGTTTCAGGAGATTTACTGCCACTCTCACACTGTCCTGCTCGTCCCCTCGTGGCGTCCGATCGCCAAGCCGGTGAGCACGAGGTCGTTGGGTAAAAGCAAGTTCTAGGAGTGGCGCCACGATCCGGGCCCCGTGCCCGCCGCTTTCTACCGCATGGTAGGCTTTTGTCTCTGTCTGTCTCTCTGTCTCTCTCTCTCTGTCTCTCTCTCCCTATCTCTCTCTCTCTCTCTCTCGATCTCCCCCGCTATGTCCACCCGCCGCTTCCAGGTTGCCAACGGGAAGCTGACGGCCAAATGGAACGCGGTGAACTTGCGCCATAGGCCCCCCCAAATCCTCGACCGAGCCCACCTTGAAGAGGTTATCCGGGTCGGCCTAGGGCCGTTGTACTAGGGCCAGAGACGTCGGGGTCGCCGGCTTGAAGACGTGAGATTGTGGGTATTTTTCGGTGGGGTCTATTTATGGCCGAGACTACGGCAGGCTAGCAGAGATCATTTGGGAATGGGGGGCTGGGTAGGCTAGCAGAGATCATTTGGGAATGGAAGGGGCAGGTTAGCAGAGATAACTTGGGAATGGAAGGGGCAGGCTAGCATAGATCATTTGGGAATGGAAAGGGCAGGCTAGCAGAGATCATTTGGGAATGGAAGGGGCAGGCTAGCAGAGATCATTTGGGAATGGAAGGGGCAGGCTAGCAGAGATCATTTGGGAATGGAAGGGACAGGCTAGCAGAGATCATTTGGGAATGGAAGGGGCAGGCTAGCAGAGATCATTTGGGAATGGAAGGGGCAGGCCAGCAGAGATCATTTGGGAATACTTATAAAATCTCAATTTTCCAGATCTGGCCTGCGAAATGGTGGAATCTAGCCCCGACGTATCTCCCGCCCCCTCGCCACTCGACAAAAACGAACAAACTCTTCTTATCCCTCATCGCTTGTAAATGATAATCCGTGGCCTGCCCCTTTCTACGGGTTTATTCCTGGTGTCTGCATTGAATAAATCTTTTTGGGAATTCGCGGTTTGTGAGGAATAAAAATAGCTTGCGCGGCAATACGAAAATCTACAGATATGGACAATCTTTCTTTCGTCTTGGGGCAAGCTTGTTCTTCCGCCAAAATGAAAGAAAATCCAACACCGTCTTCCGATGGAGATTAGAGAGACACGTGGTGAACAACGGCGGCACACACGGCAGTGCCAAGCTGCCAAAACAGCGCGCTGCGAGTACGGCCACCCCTCTCCCGAAGATCCGAAAAACCCTAATGGGAAAGCGTTTAGGCCACTTGGAAAGTCGATTTGGGCACAAGTGCACGGTGCGCAAAATTTTACGCTGACTCTGAATCGGTTTACGAAGTTTGATGCGGATTTTTCCTTTAAAAAAAGACACCAAGCCTTTTGAAAATTGCGGCAAATTTTTCCGTTTCTGAGGGCGCCGTATCGAGTTTGCAAGTTTCCGCTTCAAAAAGCAGGAACACCGTCGGCCGTAAGGGATCTGCAGGAAACACCAAACAATCAAACATACACGCGAAGCCCAGAAAAGATCTAACGTTCCTAACGACATGGTCTCCAAGTGTGCTGGGACTAAAGAAAGAGCGTGCCCGTGAAGCAACCGTACTCTCGCCCGTGAAGCAACCATTGGGATGCGAAACCATTCGAAGACTATCGCACAGGAGAAGCGAGAGAGAGAGCGATCGAGAGAGAGAGAGTGACAAAGAGAGTGACAGGACAGAGAGAGAGTGAGAGAGAGGGAGAGAGAGAGAGAGCGGGAGAGAGAGAGAGAGCGAGAGAGCGAGATAGAGAGGAAGAGAGGAAGAGAGAGAAAAACAACCGTCAAATTCCCAAAAAAAATTATTTATCATCGGACACCGAGGCCAGCAATCATTGGACATACAAAGAAAAAACAGTGGAGCATGAATTAATAGTCGATTGGTTGCTGCGGGTTCGGGCTTTTTTCTGGTTGGTGGACGAGGTAGTCGATCTGGAGAGAGAGAGAGGGCTGGATGAAGAGATCTGGAGGGAGATGGTCTTCATTCCATCATCGAAACTGAAAAATTCTATCCAGTAGTCCCAAATGATCTCTGCTAGCCTGCCCCTTCCATTCCCAAATAATCTCTGCTAGCCTGCCCCTTCCATTCCCAACGGATCTCTGCTAGCCTGCCCCTTCCATTCCCAACGGATCTCTGCTAGCCTGCCCCTTCCATTCCCAAATGATCTCTGCTAGCCTGCCCCTTCCATTCCCAAATGATCTCTGCTAGCCTGCCCCTTCCATTCCCAAATGATCTCTGCTAGCCTGCCCCTTCCATTCCCAAATGATCTCTGCTAGCCTGCCCCTTCCATTCCCAAATGATCTCTGCTAGCCTGCCCCTTCCATTCCCAAATGATCTCTGCTAGCCTGCCCCTTCCATTCCCAAATGATCTCTGCTAGCCTGCCCCTTCCATTCCCAAATGATCTCTCCTAGCTTGCCTATCTCAAAAGCAGAAAAACCCACAATTCTTGGATGTCTAAAACCATGGTCCTCCCCAGCCTGCGGCGGGGTCCTGGGTGGGAGCAGACTCAGATTTCCACAAGGAGGGCATGTCCTTCTTCAACCACTCGTTCGTCAACTGTCCGTTTTCCACCTTTAAAGGGAGTGTAAAAGTTAAGCCGTGAGAGAGAGAAAGAGAGAGAGAGAGAGAGAGAGAGAGAGAGAGAGAGAGAGCGAGATACAAACAAGACAACTTGCAAAAACGGAACCTGGCGGTAGAAGTCAGGCGCCTCATCCACCGAGACCCGCTTGAGCGAGGGCTGAAAAACCATTCCTTCAAAATCTACGTTTTTTAGGTCTTCAAAATGTATAAAAATTCCAAGCTTTGGATTAATTCCTCTGACAGACTTTCTTCGGGATCGGCCGCCAGGAGGGGACAAGCACGACGTGGCTCGCGTCGCAGCGAACGTCCTGAAAAAAAATTGGTTAGTGATGATTATTTTATAGAATTTTTATTGATGGCGCGCTGAATAAAGCGAAATATAAAATCTATTGAGAAGGACTGACCACGATCCTCTTGTAGGTGTGCTGGCTGCCGACCTCCGGCAGCTCCGGCGGCACCTAGATTGTCGGGTTATCGGGGGGGCACATTTTCAAGAATCGAAATTTTATCAAATAAATGGTTCTTTAGGATTCCCGGGGGGGGAAAGTATTCCCGGGGGGGGAAAACAAATTTTTTTCGGCGAAAGCCTAGATTTTTGTATAAATTGCGGATGCGTTTCTAAATTGTTTTTAACTATTCCTGTGCATAAAAACTACACACATTTTAACCAAAAAAATGTAAAAAATTCAAAATTAGGTCGAAAAATAGACCCAAAATGACCAAATTTTCGACTTTTTCAAACATTTTTCTAAATTTTTCTGAAAGTTATTCCGCTCTAAATATAGTTAAAACTTACTAAAAACAATTCGAAAACACTTTATATTTGATTACTAGGCCAACCGGGACCACCAGGAAAAAATTTGGTTCCCCCCGGGAATACTTTCCCCCCGGGAATCCTAAAGAACCAAATAAATAGAGGAAGTGGTTCTCCGCCCTTTTTTGCTCTTCCGGAACTTAAAAACTCTACAAATATTCACAAAAAAATGGCCTTTTTGACCAAATGCCCGTTTTTACAAAAATCCGACGATTTTTTTCGAAAAATTTGTCAAAATTTTGAGTCAGGTTTAAATATAGTTGAATTAAAAGGCCGTCCGCGGGTCATCCGAACAAGGCTTGGTACAGTTTTTTTCGACCCTGTTTTTGTGACGTCATCTGAAAGAGCATGGTCGAATTAGTAGAGTGGCACTATTTTGAGATGTTAAAAAGTTTATTTTCCTAGTTAAATTTGGCTCTAAAGTTGCAAACCTCAAAAAATTATCTCGGAAACTACCGGACCGAATCGGCTCAAATTTTGTGACTAAGCCTAATTTGGGATGGGGATCATTTTTCTAATACATTGCGACGCACGAAAACGGCCGGAACATAGGTATATTGCGTACTAAAAACAGTTTTTTGCAGTTTTCGACTTGATGGGTGTTCGGCCGCATCATGAGACTAGCATAGAAAGATGCGCAATTTTTTTCTGCATCGATTGATGTATCTTTTATCAGGCGGCCAGACACCCATTTGCTCGAATATTCCATTTAGTGCGCTTAAAACGCACCAAAAATGTACCCGAAAAATGCACCACAGAAAATTTTTGAATTTTGAAGCATGAAAACAGATCTGTAAGACGAGCTGAAGCTATTGCAAAAAAGAGCAAAAAGAAATACCATTTTTGAAAGGAGTCTGAACTCCCCGGCAGGAATCGAACGCCGGTGGGGACTGGGAGCCCAGTGGGGGCCCAGGCACAGTAGAGCGTCGGCGTGCCAATCCAGAGGTGGCGCCAGTTCAATCCCAGCCCCCTCCAAAAAGCTGAATTTCTTTTTGCTCTTTTTTGCAATAGCTTCAGCTCGTCTTACAGATCTGTTTTCATGCTTCAAAATTCAAAAATTTTCTGTGGTGCATTTTTCGGGTACATTTTTGGTGCGTTTTAAGCGCACTAAATGGAATATTCGAGCAAATGGGTGTCTGGCCGCCTGATAAAAGATACATCAATCGATGCAGAAAAAAAAATTGCGCATCTTTCTATGCTAGTCTCATGATGCGGCCGAACACCCATCAAGTCGAAAACTGCAAAAAACTGTTTTTAGTACGCAATATACCTATGTTCCGGCCGTTTTCGTGCGTCGCAATGTATTAGAAAAATGATCCCCATCCCAAATTAGGCTTAGTCACAAAATTTGAGCCGATTCGGTCCGGTAGTTTCCGAGATAATTTTTTGAGGTTTGCAACTTTAGAGCCAAATTTAACTAGAAAAATAAACTTTTTAACATCTCAAAATAGTGCCACCCTACTAATTCGACCATGCTCTTTCAGATGACGTCAAAAAAACAGGGTCGAAAAAAACTGTACCAAGCCATATTGGGGGCAGGTCGGGTGAGCCGCGGAAGGTCTTTTAAGCTGAAAATTCTATTAAATCCCTTGTTATTTTTCTATTTGCCAGCTGTAATTATTTAATTGCTGGACTTATAGGAAACAACTGGCTAGTTGCACCCGCTGGCTAGCTGAACTCGCTGACCTCGTCGGCCTGCCCGTCGCCGATCTCGGCGCGCAGCATGTCGACTACGTTCACGTCGTGTTTGTCGTCATCTTTGCGCTCCATGTAGAAGCCGGCGCCCAGGTTCACCTCGGCCATCCGCTCGACCACGCCCGGGTGCGCCTGAAATGCATAGCGAAAATGTGGTACTGGACTGTTAGCGGGGGGGGGGGATATTTTTTATTGCCGTCTGCGCCTGAGAATAAAATAACTTGTATTTTCTAGGGTTTTTAGTGGTTTTTGCTTTCTAGAAAGTCACAAAAATATTTTTTAAAAATTTAAAATGCCGCAATTTTGAGCTTTTTTAACCATTTTCATGCATTTTCGACAAAAAACGCAAAATGATTGAAAACTTTGTAATTTTTGATGTTTTTATGTATCAACTATAATAATTTTCTTGACGCGTCTGTCTGTCCGTCTGTCCGTCCGTGTGAAGCCGAATTCAACTCGAAGGGGAAAGGAGCTAGGGCTTAGCTCTCTTCGGATTCGGATAGAGCGTGGTCGGAAACCCCCAAACTGATAAAAAAAATATGAAAAAGTTTTTGTTTAAATTATTAAAATTAACTTTGAAAGTTTTTCCTTAGTAAAAGGGGTGGGGGCCCCTCTCCCGGGAGGCCACGCCCCCTTTCCCTTCGCCCCTCTTCCCCAGGCCCCTTCCCGCGCCCAGATAGCTTTTTTAAGTTACTTTAATACTTTTTAATACTTTTAATACTTTTTAATACTTTTTATTAAATAATCTTATTTAAATCATCTAAAGCCATCGGGAAGGTATTTAGGTCGTTTTTGAAGGGGCTTTCAGCCATGGGGGGTATCTAAAGCCATCGGGAAGGTAAAGTTACTTTAATACTTTTTAATACTTTTTAATTATGTTAATTAATTATGTTAATTAATTATTTAAAGCATCTAAAGCCATCGGGAAGGTATTTAGGTAGTTTTTGAAGGGGATTTCAGCCATGGGGGGTATCTGAAGCCATCGGGAAGGTATTTAGGTAGTTTTTGACGGGGATTTCAGCCATGGGGGTATCTGAAGCCATCAGGAAGTTATCGATGTAGTTTTTGAAGGGGATTTCAGCCATGGGGGTATTGATGGAGGTGGGAAAGGATGTGGTGGAGTGGGACATGTAGGGTAGCCCGAAGGCCAGATGGTTGCAGTCGCGAAGCGACTGTAACCATCTGGTAAAAACTATGTTAGATGCTAAAAAATGGTCGATTTATCGCTTTACGGCCATACAGAATTACTAGGAACTCCTTGGTTCTCTCGCCAAACCACCCCCCCCCCCGCTAACAGACTAGTACCGATGAAATCTAGCCATGTACGCTAGCATACGCGTAACTAGAAACTACACCCAAAAACTAGATCAACGCCCGAAACCTGCCCACCTTGAAGACGAGCAGTCCCCTGAGCTTCTTGTCCATGGCCGGCGTGCCGTCGCGGAACTTGTGGATGACGATCGACTCGACACCCTCATTATTGCCCCTGTCTTCCAACCCGGTCTTCCACTTTCCCTTCAGAATCTTGAAGATAGCCGTCACGTCCCCGTCGGTCATGCCCGTCTTGTCGAACGACACCGACACGGTCAGGTACAGCCACTCGCCATAGGTGCCGTTGAAGGTGGGATGGCCGGGGATCTTCGGGAAGGCGACGTTCACCTTCAGCACATCCACGCACTTCTTCTCCAGCGCCTCGATCTTCAGCATCGTCGCCTGCTTCAGGACACGCAGCGCCTCGTCGGCCACGCGGTCCGTGATTTGGCGAACCTGGAGAAAACTCATTGCTTTGAAAATTAAAAAAAAGCCGAGCTTCTTGTCTGTTAACGGGGGGGGGGAGGGTAATTTTCGGCTGCACTCCAGATAGCCCCCTTCAGCCCGCCTCCACCTACCGTGTCTCGGCTCCTTGTTCATCTACAGGTGTGTAAAGTATACCAAAATACTCGCCGGAGCAAGACAAATATTTTGGCATGCTTTACACACCTGTAGATGAACTGGGAGCCGAGATACAAAAGTTCTGGAAAGTTAGGGCGGTTTTTTAGCCTGTTAATACAAAAAAAAAATCGGTTTTTCGCCCAAACAGGGCCAAAATTTGTCACGTATTTTTCAAAGTTTTTAGAAAGGTTTTCTAGTTGAAAAATAGTTTTATTTTACTAAAACATCACATTTCCTATTGAGTTACTAAGCATTTTTAGATTAATACAAAAAATTGCTGCTAGACCCCTCCCCCCCCCCGGTAACAGTCCAGTACCTCCAAAAGTAAGCCAAGCTGTGCTTATCGAAGGAACGATTTCATGGCGCTTTGGCATTATCGGGGGGGAGTATTTTAATGGTATTTTAGTCAAAAATTAACTACATTTTAAGTAGTGAAATCTTGTAATCCGGTTCGCAAAACGTTCTTTTTTTGTTAAAAAAATCGATATTTTTTGTATTTTACGGAAAAATTTTGTAAAGTTGTTGTTACGTTTTGTTTTTACGTTTGCAAATAGCAAAAAAACGGACTAAAAGCACTACCGGAATTTATTTTAGAAAAATTGGTGTCAAAGCGGTGATACACCCGATAATGCAAAAGCACCGATTTTTCCCAAAAAAACCTTTCTAAAGCCGAAAAAGCAAGATAACCATCTTACCTTTTCCGTGGCCATGGCCAGGGTGACCTTCTTGGGGTCGAGGACGGGCTTGCGCTCCTCGCTCGCCAGCGCGAACAACGGGCTCATCCCGCTGGTCACCCAGTAGCACACCGGGGTGCCGTACTGGCCGGCCTTCATGGCCACCAGGGTGCGGAGCCAGCGGTCCTCCAGCGAGGCCAGCATCCTCGGCGTGGTCGTCGGCCGGTCGAACAGCCGCTCGTTCATCTCCTTCACGCTGTCGTTGATCACCTGCTTCGCGCAGTTGCGCACGCGGCTCTCGAGGGCGTGCGGGGTGACGAGTTTCCCCTTAATGCAGCGTTAGTCAGGTTTTTAAATTGTTTTTACTATTCCTAAAAGTAAAAATTTTAAAATTTCTTAAAAAAATACAAATATATTGTTTTTTAAAATTTCGATTTTTTAAAATATTTTTTGTAAAAGTTTTTAGATAGTTTTTCTAATTAAAATATAGTTTTATATTCCTAAAAACACTAATAAAACTTTTCCTATTAAATTACTAGGCATTTCCACCCTCATACAAAAAATTGCGTAGCCTCCCCCGCTAATGCAAAAACACCGAAAAAATAGTTTTCTCGGCGTGAAAAAGTTATTTAGGCATTTCTGGACGTATACGAAAAAATTCTCTCCCCCCCCCGATAACGGAAAAGAACCAAACATTGGATTGGATTCAGGAAAAAAATTGGTTTCGCCGTGGATTCCCCCCCCCCGCAAATGCATAAGAACCTCAACAACCCCACCTTGACGGCCTTCTTCCAGTCGCGAAGGCAGATGTTGAGCGTGCGCTCCCAGTAGCCGGGCACGCCGTTCAGCATCTTCTCGTTCAGGTTGGCGCACACGCCGAACACCGACGCCAGCTCCTTCTCGGCGTCGTCGAGATCGTCATCTAGGAGATGCGTTTTGCATAAGCATTGTAAACTAAGCCTGAACTAGCGAATTTTGTTTTGACGACTGTGGTGCTGAGATTCAGATCATGTTCAGCGGGTTCTTTAGCATTATCGGGGGGGAGGGGGGCGGGGGGGAGGCCAGCTTAAACGAGGAGCTAGCCAAATTTTTTCTTTAGATCTAATTTTTCAAATCTAAATCGTGGAAAGGATTCCACGCAATTGTTTCCTATTTGAAACGTGAAAAGTATACAAATTTTATTACAAAAACAACAAAATATCGATTTCTCGCGCAACGATGGCGGATTTTAATAAAAATTTCAACTTGCAAACATTTTTTAACGTTTTTGTCGACTTTTTCTAGCTGAACTATAGCTATATTTTACCAAAAACACAAACAAAATACATCCTATTAATTCCTTGACGTTTCTAGGCCTATACGAACAAAACTTTGCACCCCCCCCCAAAGGGGAAAGTACCAATTTTAAAGAATTTTCGAAATTTTTCCGGGGTAGGGGAAACCAAATTTTTTCGGCCCAAGCCTAAATTTTTTTCCAAATAGTGCATGCGTTTCTAAATCGTTTTTAACTGTTCCTGAGCATAAAAACTACCCACATTTCAATTAAAAAATTTAATTTTAGGTCGAAAAATCCCATAGAACCTTTAGGATTAGCGGGGGGGGGGGAAGACCCAAAATGACTAAATTTTCGACTTTCTCAAACATTTTTCTAACTTTTTTGAAAGGTTTTCTACTTTAAATATAGTTAAAATTTACTAAAAACAACGTGAAGACACTTTATATTTGATTACTAGGTCAACCCGGGAAAACCAGGAAAAAATTTGGTTCCCCGGAAATCCTAAAGAACCGCGAACAAAAAGTTAGAATTTGGAAATTCCAGTTTTTCGTTTATTTTGGTAACTTTGTAGCGATCAAAAATTGCTAAAACCCCGATAAAAACACATTTTTTTTAAGAAACCATATTTTTTAAGGTTATAGGCAGAACCCCCACCCCCGCTAATAGTCCAGTACCAAAAATCGCACCACTCCCCACCTTTATGCCCGCCACAGTCGCACGTCTTCAAGTCGGGCACCGATTTCTGCTCCGTGTCGATGGTCATGCTCATCTCGCCGCCCCATCGCCCGAAGGCGGCGTTCATCGACGCCTGGACGACGTTCTGCGCCTTGTTCGCGTCCTCGCTGGGGACGACGAGCAGCACGCGGCCGCCGGCCATCTTCTTGCCCGGGCGGCTCCAGCGCTTGAGGGCGTTGAGCACGCTGTACTTGTAGACGCTGTGCACCTGCAGGTCGATCACCTCGATGCCGCGACGGGCCAGCGTCTTGCACCAGTCGTCGGCCAACTGGAAAACGGGGGGTTCTGGATTGTTAACGGGGGGGCAGGGGGGCGGGATTCTTAGCGCGAGTACCAATTTTTTCCCGTGTTTTTCCACGGCCCTATAACAAAAGTAAAACCATTTTTATAGCGTTTTACAGAGATTTTGTATATAAAAAGCTTGTCAAAAATCATCAAAATTTTCGAAAATTTATGACTTTTCGTTCAAAAATGCGCAAAAAATGACCAAGAAAGGCCAAAATTTCGAATTTTCCAAATTCTCTAGAATCTGTTTTGTAACTTTTTAGCAATCCAAAACTACCAACAACACTATAAAAATGCGCTATATAAAATCAACGTGCTTGATAGGTGGAAAACAAAAAGTGGTCTCTTTGCTACCCCCCCCCTCCCCCGGCTAACAGTGCAGTACCGAAAAAGTTAGATTCCACTCCTTCTCCCCCTTTCGTCCCCCCCCCAATAATGCGAAAGAACCATATGATGCCGTTTTTAAGTGTATTGAGTAGTTTTTGATGGCTAGAACGTTCTAAAACCATTTTTCACATTTTTGAAAATTCAAAAATTTTGACCGTTTTTTAACCCTTTTGTAAATACTTTGAAGGGAATCAATTTGCAAAATTTTTGGAATTTTTTTGAGCTGTAGAAGTGTCTTACTTAACTCGGAAAAGTTTTGGTGTTTCCCTGCACCCCCACCCCCCGCTAACAGCCCAGTACCCGAATTTCAGCGAAGAGAGCGGGACCCCGGGAAATTGATACTCACCTCATTGAGGGCGGCCTTGGTCGTAGCGACATTGATGCGCGTGCCGCTGAGGTCGATGTCGAAGGTGAGACACGTGCTCCCGTGCAGCCACCGCTCGTACCCCTTGCCGCCGCGCTTGACGACCGTCTCCGGGGGCTGGCCGTCGTCGTACTTATTCGGGTTGGCGAGAACATCCCTCAACAGCACCATCGACACCTGGAACAAGTTCGAATCATCATTTTGAGGTTCTTTTGTATTAACGGGGGGGGGGGGGGCACGAATTTTTTCTGTCTAGAAACGCTCAGTAACTTAATAAAAAGTGTTCTAATCGTTTTTTGATAAAAATAATTACTAGAATTCAATTGGAAAAACTGCCTAAGAAGCCGATTGATTATCAGTTATCACTTGTTATCGAAATCAGTCATTTTTGGCCGAAAATCTGCATTAAGGAATAGTAAAAACTATGCTGAAACATTTTCACTATTTGCAATTGAAAAACTAGATCCTAAGGAAAAACAGTTGGTCGCCCCCCCCCCCGCCCCCCGATAATGCGAAAGAACCGAAAAACCAAAACATGTCAAAAATTTTTAATTTTGAAAAGTACTTGGAATATTTTCATGACTCTAGCGCAATGAAAAACTACAATAAAACTATCAAAATGCATTAAGTACCATCAAAATACAAAAAAAAAAAATGATTTTCCCCTGCTAAAATCTTATCCCCGCTAACAGTCCAGTACCAAGTATAAAAAAATCCGATTTTTCAAAAATATTAGAATTATATTTAGCACTTCCTAGCGATCAAAAACCATCAAAAACATTAGAAAAATACTTCATAAATATCAACAGTTGGGTCTACCAAAAAAAAATTTTTCCCCGGCCCCCCGCTAACAGACCAGTACCGGAAACCCACCTGGACCAGTCGATCGGGCACCGTGGCGCGCACAAAGCCGACAATGGGGATGGTGGTGCTCTCGACGGTTCCCAAGTCGACCTTCAGCTTCTTCGCGTCCCGATCGTACATGCGGTAACCTTTCATTTTCGGCACGGCCAAGCCCTGCGACTTCAGCGCGTTCGTGTAGTACTGCGTCGTCTTGTCGATCAACATATCGATACATTCGTCGTTGGGGGCGAGGGCCTTGTCGAGGAAGACGACCACCTCAACGTAGGGTTTGCGTTGGCTTAAAGGTACACTAAAATCTCGTTCAAAAAGTTCGGTCGAGGCAGGTAATTTCGGCTCGCTGCCGCAGCCGACCCAGACCCTTCTTATCGCCTTTCCCCTTCCCACTTCCCGTCTCTCCCATGGCCTAGTGGTCTAAGGCGCTGCCCCAGGCTGGCAGTCAGGGTTCGGTTTTGCTCCGCGGCGAGCGCCTACGGTAACCCTGTTTGCTATCCCGCGGACGGTTACAGGCCGGTAATCAAACCAACGGGACTTTAGTGTACCTTTAAGTGCAGTTCACCCTACCCCCCTTATCTTATTCACCTTTTGTATCTCGCCTCCCTGTTCATCCACAGGGGTGTAAAGTATACCAAAATACTCGCAAAAGCAAGACCAACATTTTAATGTACTTTACACACCTGTAAATGAGCAGGCAACCTAGATACGGTAGGTGGGGGTGGGCTGGCGGGGTAAAGTGCACTTCAGCCGCGTTGCCCCCGGAAATTTCGTACGGCACTATCATAACTTTCGTAAAACTGCTGCATCTACCTCTTTCCCCCCGCTAACAGCAAAGTACCAAAATTTCGAGCTAACTTTAAAAAGCGGCTACCTGGAGAGTCGTCGTCCCGTTTTCATGAGGGGTTTGCCAGAGGTTGATGTGCCACGCAGTTGTTAAGGGTTTGGCTTCGACGCGCGGAGGCGGGCTCGTTGGGGCCCTGGCGGGTTGTGGGGTGGGCCGCGGAGGCGCGCTCAGTTGAGCCGTGCTGGGCTTGGGGGTTGGCGGAGGTGGGCCGGTTGGGGCCTTGGCGGGCTGTGGGGTTGGCGGATGAGGCGCACTCGTTTGGGCCCTGGTGGGCTGTGGGGATGGCTGAGGGGGCGCGGCGAACGTCGGGGTGGTCGCAGTGATAGTCAACAAGGGCTTCGGCGTCGTGCTAGTGGCCACGGCGGGCTGCTGGCGCGGCACCGGCTTCGTTTCGTGCGTCTCGAGAGGCTCGTGGGGAAAGAAGATGTCCAGCACGTAGTCCCCGCCGGCTAGAAAGGAGTCTACGGAAAGGGTGCAGTTTACCCCCCCAGCCGGCGCCCAACTTGCGTATCTCGGCTCCCTGTTGGTCTACAGGTGTGTAAAGTATACCAAAATACTCGCCAGAGCAAGACAAACATTTTGATATACTTTACACACTAGTAGATGAACAGGGATTCGAGATACGGTCGGTGGAAGTCGGCTAGGGAGAGTAAACCGCACTCAAGTCTAGGATACTGTACTGTTAGTGGGGGGGGGGGTATAATAGAGGGCTGGTTGAATTAGAGGAAATATGGTATTACGGCTACGGTTTACTTTACCCCCCCCCCCCTTCAGCCGGAAGTTTTTGGCTATAACTTTTTTATTTTACATGATTGTAGGCTCAAATTAAAACTCTTAGTATATTTTTCGACGCTCTATCGAATGGCGTTGCAAAAATCCCGACAGAATAAGCGAAAATACCGACAACTTTGAGACCCTTCGGTTGTGGGGGGAACGGGGGTTAAGTAAACTCTTACCGGTATTACTCAAAGACAAGCGGAAAACAACAATTATCCCCCCCCCCACTAATAGTCCAGTACCCAGTTTCCCCAAATCAAGTCTCACAGAGAACGGCAATCAATGTAATGGCGATTCCAACGAAGGCGCCAGCAATGTACATCGGGTCTCCGCTGAGCACCGTCTGGACGAACATCGTAAGGTAGTTCTTCGCCCTGAAATGAAAACGGGAGTTCCGGTCAAGTGGGTAAAAACTTAAGGTTAGACCGAAAATTTCATTCTTGTGGCTCAAAAAAACCAATTTTCGACTTCTGAAAAGAAACATCCAACTCCCAGTTTTTGAAGAAAAAGCCTAGGCAAAACTCCAGAGAACCCCCAGCCGGCACCCAACTTTGTATCTCGGCTCCCTGTTCATCTACAGATGTGTAAAGTATACCAAAATGTTCGTCTTGCTCTGGCGAGTATTTTGGTGTACTTTACACACCTGTCGATGAACAGGGACCCGAGATACGGTAGATGGGGGGGGGGGTCGGCGCGGGGGGGGCTTACCTGCGGCTTCACCAAAGCAAAAAGTCCCGTCACGGCGGGGGGTCGAACCCGGGTCATGTGCGCGCCAAGCGAACACAAAACCAATGAGCCAACTGACTGAGGAGGATGGCACAAGGAAGGTCCCCTTCCCCCCAGGGGGGACCTATCCACGGTTTAGAAAACAGGTCTGCTATGGCGTGGACCAATTTGACAAAATTGGGAGGCGATTTTGTTACTTTAAGCACTTTGTCCAGAAGCCAGCAAAAAAAAACCGAAAGAAAAGTCACTTGAAAGGTGGTCGGGTAATTTTGAATTACCCTAATTTGAATAATTGCAGCTGTAGACAAAAACCGACCAAGGGACCCAGTGGAAGAATGCATAATCCAGTTCGACAACCACCATCTCGGATGATGAAGTGACGATCCAATGAGAATGGCATTTGTTCGTGGGTTTGCGCGAGGATTATCCGGTTACGGGATGCAAATACGATATTCATTCATGTAATCTAATTTTCGGAAACATATTTTTTTATGCAAATCTTTTATTCGACAGTAATCCAAGCGGAAATTGCTTTATTCAACGCTCGAGAAAAATGACCAGAATACCGCGAGCGCTTTGCCTAACCGTGCCAACTTGAGTTGCCCTGGTTAGACAAGCGGGTTTTTGTACATAAAAATCGTAATTTCCGGAAAACGTAGTTTTCGATACACTGCATGGAAGTAACTCAGCCCTAGCATGCGCGCCAAAAAGCTTCAGTCCGGCTTCAGTCCTTCATATGAGCCACGACGTCGCGCAGCAAAGGTTGATTGATGACCGAGGTGGTTAAGTCCGGATCGTCGGGCAAATGGCTGAGCTCGTGGATCGAATCTAGGCAATACGCTGCGAAATTCTTCAGAATTCGTCCTGAGCTCTTCTTTGGGGGGTTCGTGTTCACGTAATCTTGGCAGTAATCCCAATAACCCTCGACCGCATCAAACACCTTGCCGGTCAACTGGACTTCCACACTGCCGGATTGGCCGGATTGCTTCGTCTGAAATGGTCAAACATTGCTTCTGGACTGCTAGCGGAGGAACCAAATTTTTCCCTTGGTTCTCTACGGCCCTATAACAAAATTGAAACCATTTTTATGGCATTTTACATCGTTTTTAGATATAAATACAATAGAAAAATACATTTTTTTTTGTCAAAAATCTATGAAAAATAGCAAAAAAAGGTCAAAAATTTAGAATTTTCGGAATTTTTAACATTTTTTTTATTTTTTTTTAAATCTACTAAAACGCTAAAAAATATCGATAATATATCATTAACAGGTGGCAAATGCATTAACAAAATGGCATTAACAAATTCCCCCACCGCTAACAGTCCAGAACGCTATAATGGAACCCTAGCCGAACACAAACAACATACCGACAGATCGCTGAACGTCGACCCCTCCAGTGGCTTCAACTCGGTGTCGACCCAAGATTCGGGATCGAGATCTGGACGCGTACGGTAGCCGAAAGTCCCCAGCAGCTCTAGAGGATCGCGAAACTGAAATTGGAAACGGTCATAGAAAAAAGGAAGGCGGCAACTACATCTACAGGGCGTTGAAAAGACCACTTCGGCTTCTATCAAAATTTATGGACCGGTTCGAGCACATAACGGCCGTGAAAACAAAAACGTAAAAATCAACAAAAATGCCTCACCCGGTCAGCAAGCTGCCGCATCGCATAGCTGAGTTGGGGGGCCTCAAAGCATGCCTCGATGTTTTGATCCCAGCATCTGTAAGTGTTTTTCAATTAAGTTTTAATTAGTGTTTTTTAGACTGTGAAATCCTTTAGAGTTGCACACGCAAACAACCAATATCTACCGTAGTAAAATCTGTTCAAAAACGGCGGGAATCGCAGGGTCGATGGGCGGGCGGAGGCCCTCGGCGACGCGGGTTAGAACTTCTTCGCCCGGTATTTTATCGTACGGCTCCCTAAATAAATCGGCAAGTTTCTGTATTCGAAAGGGTTGGCGAAAAAAGACACGGTAAGACTCCAAATACCCCCCCAGCCGGCCCCCAAATGTTGTATCTCGGCTCCCTGTTCATCTACAGGTGTGTAAAGTATATCAAAATGTTTGACTTGCTCTGGCGAGTATTTTGGTATACTTTACACACCTGTAGATAAACAGGGAGCAGAGATACTAAAGTCGAGGGGGGGTATTTGGAGTTCAGCCACAGGGACGTAGCGTCATACCGGCCCCGGGGGCCCGGGGCCCGCCCCGAAATCGGCCGGGCCCGAAAATTTCACAAGGGGGGACCCTTATGATTTTCATTTTCTCAAAAATTTTGCTACCTGCGGCGCTATTTTTTCACGTTTTTACGGCTATTTGTAGAGCTATGTAACCTCTTTTTCAAAAATTTTTGCCTGCGGCACTGTTTTCTCGTTCATCTTTTGAGTGTTTTTGAAAAAATTTTTGGGGGCCCCCCCCCCGAAATTTTTTTTCTGGCTACGCCCCTGTTCAGCCAAAATCGAAATTTTTGCACTCGCTAATTTTCAGGTTCCATTTGCGATTCTTTTCTCATAATTTCTCCATTGTCAAAAAAAAAAACTTGAATGAACGAGCCAGCGCATCGTGTTCAAACTCACTTGCGTGTCAGCAATTGCCACAAAATTATCCCGAAACTGTAGATGTCGTCCTTGAACCCGCCACTGCCGATGCCGCGCTGAAAAATGCGATTTTTTGGCGGCTCGCTGTTTCCAAAGGAGCTCAGCCAGCCTCCCCCTATTCGGAGGGTCATGCAACTTCACTATTAGCGGACTACATGTCGTAATCTACCTCTAAGATACCCAATTTAACTCCTTTTCAATGCGTTGCCCGTCCCATGGTAACCGTCAAGTAAAGATACCTGTGGCGCGTGGTAGCGCGGTGTGTAGGAGCGCCTGGTCGACGCCTGCTCCTGGGTCTGCGCCCAATTAGACACCTCGCGAGAGCTCGCGCAGTCCCGTGCCGACCCGAAATCGCACACTCGGATGCTGAGTCGCTTGTATTTCATCAGGATACTGAAAAGCAACGATTTTTTTCTCAAGAAATACGAAAATATAGCTCTTTGTGATTATGACATTCTCATTTTCTCGCGCGCGCTCTCTCTCTCTCTCTTGCTTTCTTTTGCTTACTTCTGGGGCTTCAGGTCACCGTGGACAATTTGTTGGTCCTGGAGGAAGCTGAGAACGGATGCCAGTTGGGTGCACCAATGGATAATATGGCGGTGGTTGTAGACCGGGAAAATGAGGCGAGCGTTTTCGAAGACCGGCGGGTCAAGAACTGAAAAAAATGTTCCGGTACATTCTGGTACAGAGACAGATGAGCTGCGACGGTGCACGGGTACGTCGCGTTTCACTATTTTACCAAATTCCAAATGCCAAAACCATACTGTCAGCGAGGGTGCCCTCAGCGTGGTACTCCATCACAAAGCCTCCGTCCGGTACGCATCCCATCACCTAGTAAATTGAAAGTGCCCCTGGCAAAAAAGCCGAAAGCTGAGAGAAAGCGAGAGAGGGAGAGAAAGAGAGTGAGAGAGACAGAAAGAATGAGCGAGAGAGCCAGAAAGCGAGAGAGAGTGAGAGAGTGAGAGAAAGCGAGAGCGAGCAAAAGAGAGAGCGAGAGATAGGGTGAGAGAGAGCGAGAGCGGGAGAGAAAGAGAGTGAGAGAGACAGAAAGAATGAGCGAGAGAGCCAGAAAGCGAGAGAGAGTGAGAGAGAGTGAGAGAAAGCGAGAACGGGAACGAGAGAGAGAGCGACAGAGATATGGTGAGAGAGAGCGTGAGAGAAAGCGAGAAAGGAAACGAGAAAGAGTGTGTGACAAAGAGAAGAGAAAGAGAAAGAGAAAAAGAGAGAGTGAGAGAGATGTTTGTAGTAGAACAACGCACCTGCACAATGTTTTGATGTTTTCCAGCCAGGCGTCTGAGGAAGTTCAGCTCGCGCATCAGATTCCGCGCCTGGCCCAGCTTCACCGCGACCAGCCGCCTAAGAGACGTCGCTTTTGACAAATTTTTTTATTCATAGAATAGCGACATCGGCTAGCAGTGATTTTTAGGCAAGAGACGTCGGCATCAAGCCGAGCTTATTGGGGACCGAAACGCACCTATCCCCATGCTTTAACCGATACAGCATCACGGTCCCGAACCCGCCTGAAGCCACTTTTTCGACCGGCTCGATGTCGTGATCCCCGTATTGTCGGAAGGCGTACACCGTCTGCGATGAGCTCGTTGCCATGCTTTCCCGTACGCTTCTAAATTTTGATTCAATGAGGCAGCAAAAAAAACCCAGAAATTAGTCAAAATTCAAGGCTCAAAAATTCATCAACATAAATTTTTGAAGTTTCAAACAAAAACCCGATGGAATTTGGGGCAAAATCCTGAAAATGCCAAATTTCTACTTCGAGTTCAGGACTCAAAAAGGACTTAAAAGACAGCGAGCATCGCCCTTTCCAACGACCACTACGCGACACTCCAAATGACGCAAGCAACGTTTTCGCCCAAACGCCAGAAAACCGCAGTTTACAAAATCACTTTTTACACCTGTTATTTGGAGTGCTGTCCAGGTGTCGAGACCCAATCGTCTGAAGCGTGATTTTTCCGCTTACTCGATTTAAAAACGGATTTAGTTGACACTTTGGAAGTTAAAAATAGCCTTTAGGTGCGGCCAGTCGTTAGAAAGGGGTTTTTCAGAAGCATTTCAGGTCACAAATTCAGATCGCCACAAACGCCACAAAACCCCTAATTTATCAGAAAAAAATATGGCTCGATTTACGAAAACAAGCGAAAATGGCTGTGCACCGCCGATGCGGCTTTATCACACCGTCACGATCACGGCGGGGCGCGGCCATTTTCTTGTGACACAAAATGGACGCCGCCAGGTCGGGATCGATTCGTCTTTTAGGGGGGGCTTTGAGGTCTCGGGAGTTAGATGAAGGAAGGTTACTACTCATTTTCTAAGCAACAATAGCGACAAGTCCGGCTTTTCTTCTTTATACAGGGTGTCTCAGGATTATCCGGACAAACCTTCAATGCCATTTTTCCTATTTTTTTCCTGTTCTATGCGCACACCTTGTATCTCCTATCAATCTTTGAGGTATTTTCGAGGCACTGGCAAAGAAAGTTGCGCGAGGTTATGACATATTGCGCCGTAAAAAATCGAAGAAGTTTGAACCTAATTTCTCCCATCCGGCAAACGCTCAAAACGCAGGATGTTTCCGACGCTATAAAAAGCTTCAATATAACCGGCATAGAAAAGCAACCAGAGGAATAGGTCGGAAATGATAGGTAAAACCATGAAAATAAAAAATAACAAACAGGCATTGCAAATCTTTTATTCGAAAGTAATCCAAGCGGAAATTGCTTTATTCGATAGCCAAGGTGAATGCACAGGACCAGAAGAAGCAGATAAATAGCCTAAAACACTAGACAGTGAATAGATCCGATAAATGCATTGTGGTCGAAGTGACGAGAGGGCAGGGCGCGACAAGAGACAGCGAAAAGTGCAGCAGATGCCGGAATTCAGGAACGAGACCTAAAATTATCGGTAGACATTGCCAGGTGGAGAGACAGAGAGAGAGAGAGAGAGAGAGAGGGGGGGAGAGAGAGAGAGAGAGAGAATGAGATAGAGAGAGTGAGAGAGAAATGGTTAGAGAGCGAGAGAGAGCGAGAGAGCGAGCCCGAGAGTGAGAAAGGGAGGGAGAGAGATAGCCAGACACAGAGATAGAGAGAGCGAGAGAGAGCGAGAGAGCGAGCCCGAAATTGGGAGAGGGAGGGAGAGAGATAGCGAGAGACAGAGAGAGAGACAGAGAAAATCGCCACCTCAAATTCACCAGCCACCCGGCCGCGGTATCAGTTCCACGTCCCAAAAGGCCTTCCTCGCCGCCGGGTCGTCTAAAAAGTATTAAGTATTTTTAGACCAATCTTAGCTTGGGCTTCGGCTTAGCTTAGGCTTAGCTTAGTCTCAGGCTCGGATATGCATAGACTTAGGCTTAGGCTAGGTTATGTGAGGCCCGGACTTTTCGCGGGGTCAGGTAGGCTAGCAGAGATTCTTTGGGGGCACCAAAGGGAGAGTGACAGTAGACAAAAACTCACACTTCCACTTCGGGAAGTCGAATGGGTGTCCTATAGGTCCCTTCATAAACGGGTTGCCGACCCACACCATCATCTTCTCGGCCCACCATCCGCCCGCCCCGTCGGGCACGACCCCCGGCTTCAGCGTCTCGTTGACGAGGGCATCCATTGTGGGCGCCACTAATTTGTGCGATTTACTATCATGATTTCGGAATTTAGAATGTCGAAATTTCCCCATGCCGCAACTTGCGAACTTCGACATTTCATAACGTCGAAACTTCAGAATGTTTTGATAGGGGTTTTTCGGGAACATTTGCTTATGTAAATTTGATTCTGGACTGTTAGCGGGGGGGGGCAAATTTTTTCCTGTAATTCTCTATGGCACCATTTTTATAGCATTCTTCATAGTTTTTGCATAGAAAAACGATACAAAAATGAAAAAGATGTTGCAAATTGTCTCAGTTTTGGACAAAGCGTACGAAAAATGGCCGAAAACGGTCAAAATTTTCGAATTTTCAACATTTGCAAAAAATTTTAAACTTTCTAGCAACCAAAAACCACCAAAAACACTCGAAAAATACCTAATATAAGATCAACAGGTAGGTATGCTAACAGTACAGAACCGTAAATTTCAATATTCTGAATTTCGACATCACCAAATTTCGACATTATGATTTTCGACGGCTTAAGTGCAGTTTACCCCCCAGCCCTAACTTTTCAGCCATACGTCCTATTAATGCGCCGAGTATCTCAAAATGTTCGCCGTGGTCGAATGACTATACAAAAGTTGTTTTCTTGCGGCAAAAACTGCAAAAAATGTCTTACAAGATGAAAGTTGAAAAGATTAAGCCGCTATGCTTCGACGTACTAGGAGTCTAAAACTCAAATATTTTTATTTTCCGCTATTTTTTCGACTCAAGCGTACTGTAGGCTTATTCTCCAGAGCAAGAGCTACATTTTGGTACTATTGACAGCTCTGTACGTCAAAAGATAGCCGAGACATTATAATTGTTATAAACATTTTTCTAACAATTTTTGTATGTAAGGAAACAACTTTTTTATAGTAATTCGACCACGGGGAACGTTTTGAGATACTCGGCGCATTACTAGGACGTATGGCTGAAAAGTTGCGGCTGGGGTGGGGGGGTAAACTGCACTCTAACCTTTTCGACATCTTCAACTAACCCATTTTGTACGTCTCGAGCGCAATGTGCCCGAGCACCACCATGTCGTCCGGCATCTCGAGCAGGAAATCGCTGGTGAACCACGTGGCGTGGTACGCGTCGATGTGGAAGACAACCACGCGGAAAAGCGCAATGTCCTGCTCGCGACAGGCTCGTTTCCAGACTTCGGCCACCCTGTCGAGTCGAGCGCGGCGGGTGGGGAGCGGCACGTCCGGGCCCTTGACGCAGATGTAGTAGCCGAGGCGGTGGAACTGGATGTAGCGCGTCTCGTATTTGTCGATGGGCACGTCGGCGATGCTAAATTGCAGGTGATTAGGAAAGCCATTTTCAAAGAGCTCTGAATACATTTTTGTATATTGTTAGTTCTTTTGCAAGCATGATCAGAATGTCTTGAACAAAATAAAACTATGTTTAACTAGAAAAACAACTTAAAAATTTCGAACAATTTACAAAAAGACAACATTTTGGTCAAAAAACCGCCATTTTTGCTAAAAAACTCGATATTATTGTATTTTTTAATAAAAATTTGTAAATTTTATGCGTTTAGAAACAATAAAAAACAGTTTAAAAACACTTGCGCTATTCAGAATCAAAAATCGGTTCCAAAGAATACATTTTCTTCCTTCCGCGACAAAGCCTTTCCCCCCGATAATGCCAAAGAACCAAAGGAACACGAAAACACTTCTATTACGATAGTTGTTCCACCCCCCCCCGATAAGGCAAAAGCACCCAAACGCTTTTCCAACCCCGGGAAATCCTTTTTTCCACCGAAGAAAATTTCATTCCATTACCTCTCAATGGCCATCTTGCCCATGAACCCCTCCGGGTCGTCGGCCATCTCCTTCGCCAGTTTCACCAGAAGTCCGGCGGCCTCTGCGGGCAGCTTGAAGCTCAGCACCCCGATCAGCCGTGTCCCCTTCTTCACCGGGCACGTCGTACGGACAGATGCCGTTCCCGCCTCGAATTGGCAGAAGACGTGGGAGCCCGAGGTGTCGATCCCATCCTCCGCGACGCCGTCGATGATCAGCGCCGTCTTGAGCGTCTCCTCGATGTTGTGGAACCTGTCAAATTTGATGGATAGCGGTAATCCTTATTTATCTTCCAAAACGTCATACTAATATCTAATACTTTTTAATAGTGTTTTTCCGGATCTTCTCGTTTAACGGGGGGGGGGGTCTTTTTGGCCTCATTTTGGTTATTTTTCAAACATTTTTGATTTTGTGAAAAATTTCGCAAATTTCTATATTGATTTTTATGAACTTTTTATATTGAAAAATATTGTAAAATGCTATAAAATTGGTTATATTTCGTTTAAGGGATCGATTCAATCGACGATCGATTTATTCGTTTCATTATAATCCCCCCCCCCCGTTAAGTGAGAAGAACCATTTTTAAGTGATTTTAATTTTGGTGCGTCGCTGTTAGCGGGGGAGCAAGACCGAACCTATGCTGGAGGCCCTCTTCAGTCAATCCGACCTGACCGCAGGCAGCGGCGATGTACACCGTCTCCCTGCCGTCTTCCGGGTCGCAGCGTCCGAGGACCCGAAGGTCCAACACCTCCGGGCCGGCGTGTGTATTTTTTTTCTTCGTCCTCCTCGATCACGATGGGCCGTCGAGCGGGAATAGGTTGAGGAGTCGACCTTGGGAACAGGTAGTAGGCGAGCAGGACGATGACGCCTAAAAATTCAGCGTAAGATTTTGCGGTTCTGGACTGTTAGCGGGGGGGGGGATTTTGCACGGCGAAATTTTCTTGCTAGGACTCCAGATAAACTCCATCCCAGCCGGTACCCAACTTATGTATCTCGGCATGCTGTTCATCTACAGGTGTTGAAAGTCTAACAAAATGTTCGTCTTGATCTGGCGAGTATTTTGGTATACTTTACACACCTGTAGATGAACAGGGAGCCGAGATACGGTAAGACTTCAGATAACCCCACCTCCCAGCCGGCACTCAACTTCGTATCGCGGCTCCCTGTTCATCTACGGGTGTGTAAAGTATACCAAAATGTTCGTCTTGCTGTGGCGAGTATTTTGGTATACTTTACACACCGGTAGATGAACAGGGAGCCGAGAGACGGCAGGTGGGGTCGGCTGGGAGGTATCTGGAGTTTAGCCTCAAAAACTACCAAAACCAAGAAAATACATAATATATTCCATCCTACCCCCTGCTCGGAAACCCGCCCCCCCGCTAACAGTCCAGAACTATAAAGCATACCGCCAGAGAACAGGACATAGTTGAGGGACAAACTCCCGGCGATCATCAGCCAGCCAGCCATCTGGCCGATGTGTAAAAAAATGCAGATTTTGTTCGTCTTTGCCATTCTGCAGTACTTTTATTCAGGATCCACACTCAAAATTAGATATGCTTATGCAGCTTCTGCATCGTTGCGTAACGTTGCGTAGCCGCTACCCGCAAAACAGCAATTTCGGTACGGGGGGTACGATTCCCTAACTAAAAGTAAGGGAAAACACTGAACAGTTGTTCCCTGTAGCGGCGGTTATGCAGCTTTTGTGGAACCCTCTAGGACTTAAGGTAACGTGCCTGATTCCATTGCGAAAATTCCGACTTTTCCAAAACCCATTTATTCAATCCGATCGGGTGCGAAAAAGCCACACATGGATGAAGGCAAAAACACATGGGAGGATTCGGTATTCGGTCAGCTGCATCATTATTGTGGGTGTGGGCGGTGGCCGGGTAGAAGTTGTGGCCGAGAAGGTCGATGAGGGCCTTCACTTCAGGATCGATATCGACTGAGCATTTCTTTCTGAAATGTCGATGTGGTTTTGGAGATTCAACGTTGATGTCATGAGCGTTTATTACCATACACACTCTCTCTTTCTCTCTCTCCCTCTCTCTCTCTATCTCTCTCTCTCTCTCTCTCTCTCTCTCTCCGGCTTTCTCTCTCTCCCTCTCTCTTTCTCTCCGTCTCTCTCTTTCCCTATCTCGTTCCTTCTTCTACTTTTTGAATACCGCTCATGCGTTTGAATACCTCCCGGTTGGCTTGCCTCGCGCCGTCTGGCCCAGCCTCATCCGGGTGGGAGCATGCCTGAAAAAATATAGGTGGTTCTGGTTGGTTTGCGGGGGGGAGAGGGAGCAGCAGAATCCCTTCGGTGTTTGCCCCTGGTGTTTTTATCGGGTTTTACGGCATTTTGTAAACGGAAAATTTTAACCTTGTTGGAAAATCGAAAAAATTGAACTATGTGGCCGTTTTCGGTTGTTTTCATGCATATTTAGCAAAAATCAACAGTTCTGGCTAGAAAACAACCTTTTATACCCAAAAACGGCAGGAAAAGCTACATAAAAGGCGTGTATCTCCTCATTGGGAGCCGGCGGAGTGAGAAGTCGATGCTGGCTCCCCCCCCCGCTAACCGCCTAGTACCAACGTATCAAGGGCAAAACTACACACCACTGTCAGCTTGTCGATGACCGCCTCGGCCAGCGAGACGAAAGCTTCCTCAATAGCTTGCGGGCCGGCGCTGCATTTGCCCTCCGTCTCGAGGCGGTACAACCAGGCGTAGATGAAGTCCTCGTAGCAGGCCGGGAACTTGGACACTTCCGGGAGGGTCTCTGAGAACAGCTGGTTGCCGATGAGGATACGCAGATGCTCAGCGCTCGTCCTGGCGACGAACACCTCCTCAGGCTGCTTCTGCGATTTCTGTAATGCGGTTTTAAATAAAACCGAAAAATTTTCAAAAATAAGCTATGAAAAAAATCAAAAAGTTGACATTTTGATAATTTTGCTTCGAAAAATCAAAGGCTTAAGCGCATCAACCCTCCCCCCCAGCCGACCCCCACCTACCGTATCTCGGCTCCCTGTTCATATACAAATGTGTAAAGTGCACCAAAATATTCGCCAGAGCAAGACGAACGAACGGGCAGCACCTTCAACAACGACAAGACCGACATCTTCAGAGTTGCAGCGAATCCGCGTGCCAGACGGAGGCACACACGTTTCAGCAGCTCCATCGTGACGGCCTTCTTGGCGACACCGGCTTTCAACGTCTTGGTGTGCTCATCGAATTTTGACTGCCAGTAGGCGGCCGGGCAGTCCCACATCAATGATTTGGACTTCTTGATGGCCATGAGCCCGATCAGGCTCCTCAATGCATTGCTATATTCGAGAGGTGTCGTCTTTAGAATATATTGAGCTGGATCCTCATCCGCCTTCTCGTTCTCCTCTTCCCTGGATTCGGCATGTAGAAGATCTTCATCGAGATCCTTCTCCGCCTCAGAGTTGTTCTGGGGCACCGCGTCGTCGGCTTCCTCCTCAAAATCCTCCTGCTCCTCATAGCTGATCTTGCGTTGACGCCTCGGGATCAGTTGGTAGACGAGGAGAACGAACAGTCCTAGGAGTTGGGTAGCGTATCTGTTCGTAAGGCTACCTCCAAGAAGAATAGCATAGCCCAGGTCGAAGTTGACGTCGTTGCTGTCAACTCTGAAACGTATCAAATCGTACTGGGCTGTTAGCGGGGGGGGGTGTTTGCTTTAGCTTGACGCTCCGTTGTGTTCTAATACTTTTATGGCTTCTTAAGCAGGTTATAAGTATAGAAAGTTGGCCAAAAAGTTAGAAAAAGTTTCAAAAAATGTCCAAAACGAGGTTCACAAATTTCAATTGTTTTTGATGATATGCTAATTGGTAGGTAAAGCGAAGCGTACCCCATGGCCAAAACGGAGTGGTTGAGCACGAGGATGAGCAGCAGGGTCAGCATGCGGCCAAAAAACGGTGGCGAATCGCATGTAGACGGCTTCCATTTAAAGCCGTATATTCTTAATTCAAAATTTGGATGCAAAATTTCGGCTTCAAATTGTCACTTGAAATTCAAAGAATTTCCCAAAAATATTTATTCAATCCTATTTTTTTGCGGGAAAACACATGGGAGGACTTGGTATTCGGTCAGATGCATCATGTGCCTAAGTTATAGTGCCTAGGTAGGTGCAAGGCTGTAGAGAATCACTAGGAAATTTTGTATCCCCCCGCTAACAGTCCAGTACTTGACAGATCGAGGCCTGCATTTTGTTCTACTTTACATGCCGAAGCCGATCAATGATACCTTAAGCCAATGGGCACAGTCAGCGAGTATAATATCCCATAGGTCGCCGCCGGGGCCGGCAAGAATGTGCATCGGTGTGATATTCCTGGTGGCCACGATTGCGAGCATCATGCGCAGCGGCCCGTCGTATTCAGCGGAAAGCTCCTCATCGGCCTCCTCGTTCTCCTCTTCCCGGGATTCGGCATGTAGAAGATCTTCCTCGAGATTATCGTCTGCTTCCCCGTTCTTCTCCTGCCTATATTCGGCCTGTAGAAGATCTTCATCGAGATCCTTCTCCGCCTCGGCGTTCTTCTGGGGCACCGCGTCGTCGGCTTCCTCCTCAAAATCCTCCTGCTCCTCGTAGCTGATCTCGCGCTGCGGCCTTGGGATCAGGCGGTAGACGAGGAGAACCAACAGTCCTAGAGATTGTAAAGGTATAGGTTCGTAAGGCTACCTCCAAGAAGAAGAGCATAGCCCAGGTCGAAGTCGGCGTCGGCGTCGTCGCGGTCGGCACTGAAAGTGTATCAAATGGTACTGGGCTGTTAGCGGGAGGGGGTTGTTTGCTCTGGCCCAACGCCCGGTTGTGTTCTAATACTTTTATAGCTTTTTAAACAGTTTAGTATAGCGTGTCGAGAAAAATCTAGAAAATGTCGAAAAATTGCCAAAACAAGGTTAAAATTTTAGATTTTTTTATTATGTGCTAAATACTAGGGTCTGAGATTTGCTAATTTGTAGGCAAAACGAAGCGTACCCCACTGCCATAACAGAGTGGTTGAGCACGAGGATGAGCAGCAGGGTCAGCATGCGGCCGAAAAACGGAGGCAAATCGCCGAATGTAGACGGCTCCTATTTCGAGCCAGCATTTCAAAGAAAACGTTGTCTTAATGCAAGATTTCGGATGCAAATTCAAGTTCAATATCAAAAAATTTCCCAAAAAAAACATTTATTCAAGCCCGAAATTGCGGAAAAGTCGCACATAAATCACGGAAAAACACGTGGGGAGGATATGGTAATCGGAGAGCTGCATCATTTTTGTGGGCGTGGACGGTGACCGAGTAGGAGTTGTGCAAAAGGAGGTAGCTGAGGACCCAGACTTCAGCATCCAAGGTCACGCCGCACCCGTCCCTGAAATTGGTTACAGTTTTGGAGAGCAAACGTTTCGCTAACGGAAACGTATCGGACTATCGTTACCCTGTCAGCGTGTTACCACCGTTACTAGTGTTAGCCCCTCCTACCTAACATATTTAAAGGAGCTCGGAAGTCAAAATTGGCGAGAGCGGGAATTGAACCTACGGGTCAAAAAACGAAAGGGTCAATACCGAGAAGTACCAGAAAAGTGATTCCGTTGCGAAAAATGTACAAGATTTGAGTAAAACAAAAAAGTTCTTGGAGCGAGTCGGTGATTACTTGAGTCGGCGATTACATGTCGTAATGCCTTGTAAGGCACCCAATCTTTCGATCTCATTGATTCTCTGGTCAGTTTTCATAATCACAATATCTAGAAGTGTCAAAATTCGGTAAGGATTCCAAAAGGAGTCAAGGGATGGGGACGGCGTGGACCAGGTTTCGCGGGACGCTTTAAAGGGCTCGAGAAAGATGCGTTTTGCGAAAAAGCAAAAAAATTTTGCCGCGCGCGGGGGTCGAACCAGGGATGGTTCATCCCACAGCCCAGGGTGCTAACCAGTACACCATGGCGCCGCATAACCGCGGCGGCAAAAAGCCCTCAAATGCCCTAGAGGGCCTCCAGGCCGCTGCCGAGGTTCGAGCTTTGCCCGGCGCCGAAATTCAGCGTTGCATAAAATTTCCGAATATGAATTACGTCGATAGTACTGTCTCGTCGGTCCGTCACCCGACGGACGCCTGCCCATCTTTCTCCAGCCCTTTAAAGGGGCTCCGAAATCTGGTCCACGGCCCCCTGCTGTGATTCCTGGCAAATTGCCAGATGCGGCCGCAACGCGACCGCGCCGCATGGTCTTTTGCCCCCGTTTGGACCCGAAAACTCTTGAATTTCAAATTCTGATGCTATTTTTGGAATCTTCACCGAATTTTGATCATTCCAGACTTTTAAATTATGAAAATTGACCAGAGAATCACCGAGATCGAGAGATGTCTTACAAGGCATTACGACATGTAATCGTCGCACACTCAAAAACTCGTTTTCGCCCCGAGAACATTTCGGTTTTACTCAAATATTTGACGTTTTTTCGCGACGAAAACAGTTTTGTTGTACTCCTCGGCAGTGACTCTTTCGTTTTTTGACCAGTAGGTTCAATCCCCGCACGCGCGAATTTTGACTTCTGAGCCCCTTTAAGTATTCTGACAGGCCACCAAAACGATGGTCCGATTCGTTTCCGTTAGAGAGATATTTCCGTGCAAACTGTAGGCCGGTTTCCTGCACACCCTGAATGCTTTGACAATCTCCCGGTTGGCATGCGTCGGGCCGTCTGGTCCAAACCGATCCGGGCCGGAGCAAGCCTGAAAAAATAAAGGTGATTCTGGTTCGTTAGCGGGGTGGGGGGCGGTGTAGAATATCATGGATTTCGGAGGGAAGCTAGCCAACGTATGTGCAGCGTCTCGCAATCTCCCATCTCCCATCTAACTCGACGCAGAAGTACCGGATCGGAAAAATAGTTAGACCATTCGAAAGCCTTTTAAACGGCGAGTCGGTAAAAATCTTCAAAATCCTGTTTTTATTTAAACGCTTCATTTTAAGCCGTTTTGCACAATTTTGCGATTTTTCTGGGGTTTTCTGGGGTTTTTTGAGGCTAAATTGCCTTAAATTTTCCAAGCAAATTGACCAGAAGTTGCCGTTAATTAGATGCCGAGACCGTTCCTTAATGTTTTTAATGCTTTGTAAAATGGCGCGTATAAATAAATCCATGGTTTTGAACATTGTGGCAAACTCGCCGTTTCACGGGCTTTCGAATGATGTCACTACCATTCCGGTCCGATACTTTCACGTCGAGTTAGAGGGGTGGGGGTGTTTTTATTAGGACACCCGGTACATAACTAACTGTAAGTTAGTTTTCGATGACCCAAAGTTCATAAAAATGCCCTCCCCCCGCTAACAGCCTAATACCAAAACATTAAACTCAAATTGCATACCTCGGCCAGCTTGTCGATGACCTCCTCCGCCAGCGATACCAGATACTGCTCAATGTCTTCCGGGCGCGCCATGGTCCCGCCGTCCTCAGATTCGAGGGCATGCAACCAGGCGTAGACGTCCCGCTCTAAGGCCGCCGTCGGGTCCGCGGCCCGTTCGAATAGCTGCACGGCGATGAGAGTCCGCAGCTGCTCATCGCTCGTCTCTCCGGGGACCGGCTCGCCATGCAGACCCTCCGGCGTCTGCAACAAGGATCTTGTCGATTTTCCACTTTGGTTCTTTCGCATTATCGGGAGGGGGAAGTCAATTTATTGGATAACCAGTGGAAAGTGACCGCTTCGCGGCTCTGTTTTCTATCTTGGAAAGTTAAAATTTACTAAAAACGATGTAAAAAACACTTTATACTTGATCACCAGGTCAACCGGGGCCGCCAGGAAAAAAAATGGTCCCCCCAGAAATACGCGAATCCTAAAGAGCCCGAACCAGGTACGAAGTTTTTACCAACATTCTTTTTTATGAGTTTTTAATTGTTGGGCTTAAAGGGATACCCAGCCTTTTCGGGGCTCAAAAAGCAAAAAAACATGACGCGGGCGGGGGTCGAACCCGGGACCCCCGTTTTGTAGGCCAGGATGCTATCCATTAGGCCATAGTGGCAAGCCACTGGGTGGGATGGGGACGCCACAAGAGGGAGAGGGGGCCGAATTCTGTGCGGCACTAGGCATCCATTACCGCACAAAATTCGCGCGTCATTTGTACTCCCCGGAATACATAACTATATATTTGCCGCCAAAACATTGGGTATCCCTTTAAGTACAGTTTACCCCCCCCCACCCCCCAGCCGACCCGCACTTACCGTAACTAGGCTCCCCGTTATCCTAGATGTGTGTAAAGTCTACCAAAATACTCGCCAGAGCAAGGCGAACATTTTAATATACTTAACACAACGGACAGTGAGCTTAACAGTGAGCCGAGATACAAAAGTTGGCTGCCGGCTGGGGGGGGGGGGGTGGGGGTAAACTGCACTCTAACCAAATGGGCGAATTCGAAACAGCCCGAACCAGGTACCAAGTTTTTACTAACATTCTTTTTATCCTACGATATCCTACTATATATAAAAAATAGTGTATGTGCGTGTCTGTGTGCATTTGCATGCAACTTCCGTCAGGTTGTTCCAGTAGTATCTCAATAAGAAGAGTCGTTAAGGACATGTTTCATACGTCATTAGCTGCGTAATGGCTTGGGGATGACTGCACACCAATAAAATTTTTAAAAACGAGCAGTTTTCGACCTTAAAATTAAGTTTTTGTTGAAAAATGGGCCACCCTCTTTGTTAGGAAACAATTTGCCTACGCCGGACGTTGCGGTAGCCTATATAAGAGAAGAGAGCTTTTAACTGTTGTTCTACCCAACTAGACGCTTGTACAGCAACGACGAGATCGACATGTTGAGCATTGCGGCGAATGTTGGTGCGATGCGGCGGCACACCCGTTTCAGCAGGTCCAGTGTGACGGCCTTCTTAACGATGCCTGCCTTCAGCGTCCAGGCGTCTTCATCGAAGACGAGCTGCAATACAGAGGCCGGGTACCAATGCTTGACGTTGGATCTGTCGAGGGCCATCAGCTGGAACATGCTCAGCAGCGCCTCGATATACTCCCGAGGTGTCGTCTTTAGAATATCTCGATCTGGATCCTCATCCGCCTTCAGGTTTTTCTCCATCATATATACGGTCTGTGGAAGATCTTCATCGAGATCCTTGTCCGCCTCGGCGCTCTTCTGGGGCACGACGTCGTCGACTTCCTCCTCGAAATCCTCCTGCTCCTCGTAGCTGATCTTGCGTTGACGCCTCGGGATCAGTTGGTAGACGAGGAGAACGAACAGTCCTAGAGATTGTAAAGGTATCTGTTCGTAAGGCTACCTCCAAGAAGAATAGCATAGCCCAGGTCGAAGTCGACGTCGGCGTCGGCGCGGTCGGCTCTGAAAGCGGTTCATATTAAGGGCGTATGGTTTAAAGTCTGGTACGTCTTTTATTGCGGCACGACGACAGTTTATTGGATTATGCCTAAGCGAAAAGAATTGAGATTTTCTCCACGGATGGTCCGCCGTTTAAGTGCAGTTTACCCCACCCTACTCGCCCCGCCCAGCCGCCTAGGCGTAAGCTAGACCCATACCGAAAGTGCGTAGCAAAATGTACCCCACGGCCATAACGGAGTGGTTGAGCACGAGCAAGAGCAGCAGGGTCAGCATCCGTCCGAAAAACGGCGGCAAATCGCAGAATGTAGACGGCTCCCATTCAGAGCCGGCAATTTGATAGGGAACGTGGTCTTAATTCAAAATTTTGATGCAAAGTCCGGCTTCAAATGCAAAGAAGTTCCCCAAAAATACATTTATTCAATTCCGGAATTGCTGAAAAGCCGCACATCCATCAAGGCAAAAACACATGACAGTAATCGGTATTCTGTCAATTGCATCCTTTCTTTGGTGGGCGTGGACGGTGACCGGGTAGGAGTTGTGCTCAGGAAGGTAGATGAGGCGCAGGCTTCAGAATCCAAAGTAAAACGGCACCCCTTCCTGAAATTTGGTTACTTTTGGAGTTGCCAAACGTTTTGGGATCAAGGAATGTAACGTTGGTCAAGGAAAAAGCCCCTAGTTAGCCCCGAAATATCTCGCTAACGGAAACGAATCGGACTATCGTTACCCCGTCAGCGTGTTTCCGTCATTACTAGGGTTTGTTCTTCATACCCAACATATTCAAAGGGGCTTGGAACTCAAAATTCGTGCCTGCGGGAACCTACAGGTCAACAGACGAAAGGTGCACTGCCGAGAAGTATCAGAAAAGTGTTCTCCTTGCGAAATAACGTAAGATATTTGAGAAAAACCGAAATGCTTGCGGGGGGAAACGCGCTTTTGAGTGCGCCACAATTCCATGTCGTAATGTCTTGTAAAGGGGTTCTTTTCATAATGTCGAAATTCATAATGTCGAAATTCATAATGTCGAAATTCATAATGTCGAAATTTCATAATGTCGAAATTTCATAATGTCGAAATTTCATAATGTCGAAATTTCATAATGTCGAAATTTCATAATGTCGAAATTTACATAGGCTAATTACCGGTGAAACCGCCAAATCCTAGCCAAAAAAATTTTTTCCACCTTCTGTTTTTTTTTATCTTATTTCACGACAACATTTTTTGTCTAGAATTCGGGGACTTTACCGGGAATTTTTGCTTATGTAAATTTCGACATTCTGACATTTCGACATTCTGACATTTCGACATTCTGACATTTCGACATTATGAAATTTCGACATTATGAAATTTCGACATTATGAAATTTCGACATTATGAAATTTCGACATTATGAATTTCGACATTATGAATTTCGACATTATGAATTTCGACATTATGATAGCAATTCCTTGTAAAGCTCCCAATCTCTCGATCTCGGTGATTCTCTGGTCAATTTTTATGTTTAAAGAGATGAGGACGGCATCTGTTGAACCCCCCTTGGGGAGGGGGGGTTCAACAGGTCCCGCGGCGAGAGAGGGCGCCCAGGGGAGAGGCGCAGAGACATTTTCTTTCCCGCGCGTAATCGTTTGGCTTATGCCGCTCCTATCCCTTTAAGATGTCTAGAATTGTCAACATTCGGTAACGATTCCAGAAATAGCTTCAGAATCTTGAAATTCAAGCTTTTTCACGTCCAAACAGGGGGCAAAGATTATGCGGCGCGGTCGCATTGCGGTCACATCTGGCTTTTTGCCATGAATTAACGCAAGGCGGCGAGGACCAGATTTCGGCGGCCCTTTAAGGTTTCTGGCAGGTTATCAAAAATGATTGTCCGATTGTTGCGTTAGAGAGATATTTCAGTGCAAACTGTAGGCTGTTGTTCTTGCCCACCCTGAAGGCTTTGACGATCTCCCGGTTGGCATGCGTCGGGCCGTCTGGTCCAAACCGATCCGGGTCGGAGCAAGCCTGAAAAAAAAATACAAGTGTTTCTAGTTCGTTAGCGGGGGGGTGGAATATTGATGGTTTTGGGGGAAGCTAGCCAGCGTTCGTACAGCTTCTCCTAATAGAAAAAAACATCGTCCTCTAACCCGATGCTGAAGCACCGGATCGGAATGAGAGTTGCACCATTCGAAAACCTCTGAAACGGCGAGTTCGCCACAATTTTCAAAACCATGTTTTTACTTAAACGCGCTATTTTACAAGCTATTTTGTGCGACGTGAGCCGTTTTCCTGGGGCTGCTAACTAGCTAATGTGCCTCAATTTCTCCAAGTAAATTGACCAAAAGTAGATGCAACCGCCATTTCTCAATGTTTTTAAATGCGTGATACAAGGCAATTTTTAAATAAAATATGGTTTTGCAGCTTTTTGCAAACTCGCCGTTTCAAGGGTTTTCGAATGGTGTAGCTAACATTCCGGTCCGATACTTTCACGTTGAGTTAGCGAGGGGTGTTTTTTTTTGTTAGGACAACCGGTACATAACTAGGTAAGTTTTCGATGACCCACGTTCATAAAAATTCCCTCCCCCCGCTAACAGCCTAATACAAAAACATTAAACTCAAATTGCATACCTCGGCCAGCTTGTCGATGACCTCCTCAGCCAGCGATTCCATATATTGCTCAATGACTTTCGGGCACTCTCTGTCGCTGTCGTCCTCGGCATCGAGGGCACGCAACCAGGCGCAGAGGTCTTGCCCGAAAATCCCCGCCGAGACCCCGGTCTCTGAGAAAAGCTGCACGGCGACGAGAGTCCCCAGCTGCTCATCGCTCGTCTCTCCGGGGACCGGCTTGCCATGCAGTCCCACCGGCGACTGCAACAAGGTTCTTCACGATTTTCGACTGGTTCTTTTGCTTTATCGGCGGGGGGGGGGGACAATGTTGTGTATTAATCGAGAAGTGCCTAGTAACTTAATAAAAATAATTTTCATCGTGTTTTTGGTAAAATAAACCATATTTTCACTTAAAACCCATCTCAAAAAAATTTTTCAGGAAGTTGACATGTTGGTCGGACATTCGGCATGTTTTGTATTTTCTTGACAAAACAGTTGTAGATTTTTTAGATTTACGAATAATAAAAAACAGCTTACAAACATTTTTGATTAACTTTCAAAAAAATTGGATCTTTATAAATTGGTCCCCACCCCCCGATAATGCGAAAGAACCTTGAGTTGAAACCCGCCGACACTATAAGACGTCTCTTGTCAGCTCAAAAAAATGAAAATATAAAAATTTACTGTACTTTTAGTTTAGTCTTCAAATTTTGAAGATCAAAAGCGGAAGGAAGTGTTTCTAAACCGTTTTTATTATTCCCCCAATGCAAAAACTTTACAACTTTGACAACTTTTGAATCCTTGTTTGACCCAACTACAAGGTGTCCCAAAAAAACGAACCATCTGGCATTTCGCCGTGTTACATCCAATCAGCCCCAACTTTGGAGCAAAGGTATATCAGCCCCTAAATAACAACAATCCTGACTTATAGCCCTGTAGCTATAGTAGTTCTCGAGTTATAACGAAAATACTGATTTTCCCGCAATTCTAAGCAGTTTTTTCGGCTATCTTTTTGGACTTTGCATCGATTTGCATCGACTTCCGGCTGCGAATCCCTAATTTCGCTTAAGATCTTGGGTAATTTTGCGTTGTAAAAATCGCTTAGATCGAAGTTTATTTGGTAAATTTTAGCCCGGAAAAAATTACTTAAGGTAAAGAAGGCCTACCGGATCATTTTCACTTAATGTTTAGGGGATCTAATTCCACGGAAACCCTATGAAAAATGGAAAATAAAGTTTGCTTTTGTTATAACTCGAGAACTACTGTAGCTACAGAGCTATAATTCAGGATTGTTGTTATTTAGGGTCTAACCAGATGGTTACAGTCGCTTCGCGACTGCAACCATCTGGCCTTCGGGCTACCCTACATGTCCTACTCCACCACATCCTTCCCTACTTCCATCAATACCCACGCTAACCGCTTCAGATCCCCCCCGTGGCCGAAATCCCCTTCAAAAACTACCTAAATACCTTCCCGGTGGCTTAAGATACCTCCCCTAGCCGACATCCTTTTAAAAAACGGAAATAACGACCGACCGGATGGGATCAGAGAAAAAAAAAGAAATGAAATCCCTCGTGAAAATTTTCATCCACGAAACGCGCGTCACCTGGCTCACTATGTCCAAAATCACCCCAACCTAGGTCCCCCACCCCTTTACTAAGGAAAAACTTTCAAAGTTAATTTTAATAATTTAAACTAAAACTTTTTCCTAATTTTTTTTTTATCAATTTGGGGGTTCCTGACCACGCTCTATCCGAATCCGAAGAGACCTAAGCTCTAGCTCCTTTCCCCTTCGAGTTGAATTCGGGACCGGACTGACGGACAGACGGACAGACACCACAACTTTTTTATTATAGTTGATACACCTCTCGTCAAATTTTGGGACCGATTGGATGTAACACGGCGAAATGCCAGACGGGGCGTTTTTTTTTGGGACACCCTGTACTGTATACCCAATAATTTATGCGCTTGAACAGGAACGCCGAGATCGACATGTTGAGGGTTGCGGCAAATGATCGTGCGACACGGCGGCACAGACGTTTCAGCAGGTCCATCGTGACGGCCTTCTTTGCGATGCCTGCGGTAAGACTTTAGTTTACCCCCTTGTGTTAACTTTCCTAACGTCCTATTAATGCGTGGAGTGTCTGAAAGTGTTCCCCAGAGTCGAATTACTATCAAGAGGTAGTTTTCATACATCAAAAATTGTTGGATAATTTTTCATAACAATTATAGGCCTGGGTTCCGGTTAGAGTGCCAGTTTAGCCCCCACCACCCCCCAGCCCGCACCCAACTTTAGTATGATAGTTTTTTATAAACTTTTACAAAATTAACCACTGAAAACTATCTAAAATGCTATCAAACCCGTTTATATCTTGTTATCGGGCCATAATGGATTACCGGGAAAATTTGCTGAACTCCAGATAACCCCCCAGCCGTCCCCCAACTTTCGTATCTCGGCTGCCTGTTCATCTACCGTTGTGTAAAATATATTAAAATGTTCGCCTTGCACTGGCGAGTATTTTGGTATACTTTACACGCTACTACAAAAACGGGTTGGCGAGATACAGTAGGTGCGAGCCGGCTGGGGGGCGGTCGGTAAGCTGAACCACAGCCTGGGTTTTCTTTAGCTAATATTCGCTGGTCCAAAGTCAGTTTTCGTATTTCGGCTCTCTTAAGCTCTACAGAGCTGTCAATGGTACCACACTGTAGCTCTTGCTCTGTAGAATGAGACTACAGTGCATATGGTTAGAAGAAACAGCGTAAAATGAAAAGATTGGAGTCTTAGACTCCTGGTACAATGCAGCATCGCGACTGAATCTTTTCAACTTTCAAAATCTTGTAAAAATAGGAGCGAAAGCAAGGAAACTAATCTAATCGCAATACGACCGCGTCAAACATTTTGAGATGCTCGACGCATTAATAGGAAGTATGGCTGAAAAATTGGGGCTGGGGGGGGTAAATAGAGTATATCCATGCCTGTCTTCAGCGTCCAGGTGTCTTCATCGAAGACGAGCTGCAATACGGAGGCCGGGTAGTAATGCTTGAGGCTGGATTTGTTGATGGCCATCAGCAGGATCATGCTCAGCAGCGCCTCGCTATACTCCCGAGGTGTCGTCTTTAGAATCTCTCGATCTGGATCCTCATCCGCCTTCAAGTGCTCCTCCCTGCTATACTCGGATGGAAGATATTTCGGCTAAACTCCAGATACCCCCCCTCCTGCCGCAGCCGACCCCCACCTACAGTATCTCGGCTCCCTGTTCATCTACAGGTGTGTAAAGTATACCAAAATACTAGCCACAGCAAGACGAACATTTTGGTATACTATACACACCTGTAGATGAACAGGGCGTCGAGATACAAAAGTTCGGTGCCGGCTGGGGGGGGGGGGGGGTATCTGGAGTCTTACCGATATTTCAGGAAGCCCTTGATCGCCCGAGCGCCGTTCGGGAGCGCCGGGTCGTCGAATTGTTTTTCGAAATCCGCCTGCTCCTCGTAGCTGATCTTGCGTTGACGCCTCGGGATCAGTTGGTAGACTAGGAGAACGAACAGTCCTAGGAGTTGGGTAGGGTATCTGTTCGTCGGCTACCTCCGAGAAGGATAGCATAGCGCAAGTCGAAGTCGGGGTCGTCGTCGCTGTCCGCCCTGAAAACGGGTCTAGTACGACTTTTCGGCTACGGTTTACTTTACGCCCCCCCCCCCCAGCCGGAAGTTTTTGGCTATAACTTTTTTATTTTACATTATTGTAGACTCAAATTAAAACTCTTAGTATATTTTTCGACGCTCTATCGAATGGCGTTGCAAAAATCCCGACAAAATAAGCGAAAACACCGACACCTTTGAGACCCTTCGGCTGTGGGGGGGGGGTAAAGTAAACTCTTACCCGACTTTTCTAGCAACAGGACGACAGTTTTTGGTTTGCGCCGAATCCAATTAAATGGAGATTTTTGGAACAAGCGTGTACCGCAGTTCTGGTTCGTTAGCGGGGGGCGGGGTGGCTCTTTGGTCCCCCGCGCTTACAGTCCGGAATCCCGAAGCTCTGCATAGAAACGTACCCCGCGACCATGACGGAGTGGTTGAGCACGAGGAAGAGCAGCAGGGTCAGCATTCGGAAGTAAGGAGTGACGAATCTCAGAATATCGCAAAATTTGACGACTACCGGAATGTTGAAGAGATAATAGTTTCGATTCAAAATCCCGGATGCAAATTTCGGTTTCAAATTTATCTTTGTTTTTCAATTCAAAATCTCTTCGAATTCAACATTTTTCCCAAAAACCATTTATTCAATTCCAGACTTTTGCGAAAAAACACAGCAAGGTTTTGGTATTCGGTCAGCGGCATCATTTGTGGTGTGTTGGAGGTGACCGGGTAGGGGTTGTGCAAAAGAATGTAGATGAGGCCCAAACTTCAGCAGCGAAAGTCACGCAGCACACCTTCCTGAAATTTGGGTATATGCTGGGCATCAAGTAGTAGGCTCAAAAACTTGCGCACTTACGCAACTAGCGAAATAGCACTCAGTGAGGTCTTTTTAATTTCGTTTTTTTTTTTGCTTACCGCGAAGGCTTTGAGCATGGCCTGCTCATCTTGCGTCGAGGCGTCTGGTACAGCCGGACCCTCGCCGGAGCAGAGCTGAAAATTATCGTTAATGCAAGCAAGTAGCTGCTGGGTGTCGGAGAAACCACCACCCTGGCATTGGTTCTGGACCGTTAGCGGGCGGGGGGGGGGGGACGGTAAGACTACAGATACCCCCCCCCCCAGCCGACCTCCACCTACCGTATCTCGGCTCCCTGTTCATCTACAGGTGTGTAAAGTATACCAAAATACTCGCCAGAGCAAGGCAAACATTTTGATATACTTTACACACCTGTCGATGAACAGGCAGTCGAGATACAAAAGTTGGGGGACGGCTGGGGGGGGGGGGGGATCTAAAGTTCCGCCGGGGGAACAAATTTTCCCGGTAATTCAGTACGGCCCTATAACAAGATATAAACGGGTTTGATCGCATTTTACATAGTTTTCAGATGTCGATTTTGTAAAAGTTTATAAAAAACTATCAAACTCTTCAGAAATGCATGAAATTGCCACAGAATTTGAAAAAATCGACGAATTTCGATCATTAAAAAATTGTAGAAATATTTCTATAACTTTCTAGAAATCAAAAACTACGAAAAACACTGTAACAATACATTATTATCAATATGTGGAACAAAAAGTGGTCCCCCGCTAACAGCACAGGACCAAATGCTTTTCCACTTTTCAAACGCCTTTCTAACCGTTTTTTGAAAGTTTTCGATTTTTAATTTGGGTAAAACGTACTAAAACAATGCGATGTACACAACACTGTACCCACGCACTTAATTACTACCCACGCAAGCACCCAAAACTGAAATGAACACACATCAGAGAGGCGGTCGATGGCCTCCTCGGCGAGGTCGGCAAGGTATTGCTCAATGGTCGTCTCCCACCCGTCGAGCCGGCCCTCAGCCGTGGCAGACTCAGCCCACCGGTAGGTGCACTGCGCCATCCGGCCATCCAGGTACGGGTCCGGCACGCAGCTCATGGCTTTTCGGGTGAGTTCCATGGAGATGATCGACTGCAGCAGCTCCTCGGTCGTCAGCGCGTCGCTCTCGTAGCCCTTCGGCACCCAGTTCAGCAACTGCTCGTTGATCAACGACACCAGAGGGCCCGCGAATTCTGCGGCAACTTGGCGGCACAGGCCTTCGAGATGGTCTAGCGTGGTCGCCTTCTTGTCGATGGCTTCCTTAAGCAAAATTCTTCTTAGGCAAAGCAGACTGACTGCTAGAACCTGGAACGCACACTGTCACCCCCAAGAACGCGTAGAGAGAGGCGTCATTAGTGGCGCCCCGTACTCGGCAAAGACCCTCTGGGGTTTGGGGCGCCTCTGACTCCCTTCCCCACTCGGCCCTGTGGTATAGTGGCTAGTGCGTCGGACTGTGGAGCGAACCATCACGGGTTCGACCCCCGCCCGGTGCGCAATTTCTTGCTTTTAACCAAAATTTTGATCGTTCTCACGGTCTTAAAGGGATACCCAAGGTTTTGGCAGCAAATATATGTATTCCGGGCAGTACAACTGACGCGCGAATTCTGTGCGGCAACGGGAGTCCATTGCCGCGAGAATTCGGACACCTTTCCCACTTGTGGCGGCCCCATACCACCCTATGGTTTACCACTATGGCCTAATGGATAGCATCCAGGCCTACAAAACGCGGGTCCCGGGTTCGACCCCCGCCCGCGGCCAGGTTTTTGCTTTTTGAGCGTCGAAAAGGTTGGGTATCCCTTTAAAAGGCCGTCCGCGAGTCACCCGAACAGACCCCATTATGGCTTGGCACAGTTTTTTTCGACCCTGTTTTTTTGACGCCATCTGAAAGAGCATGGTCGAATTAGTAGGGTGGGATGGTTTTTAAAGTTTAAAAAGTTTAATTTTGAGGTTAAAATGGGCCTCAAAGTCGCCGACACCGAAAAATTATCTCGAAAACTTCTGAACCGATTTTACTGAAGTTTTGCGACAATACATAATCTGGGACGGGGATCATTTCTCTAATACATTGCAACACTTGAAAATGGCAGGAACATAGGTATACAGCGTAGTGCAAACAGTTTTTGCGGAATTAGTAGTTTTACGGGTCCCCAGAGCGCTTAGCCACTAATGTTAAAAGATGCGCGCAAAATTTCTGCATAAAATGGTGTATCTTCTGGAGCGCTCCGCGTGCCCGTAAAAAGCGAAAAATCGAGTTTAATGTGGCGCCAACGCATCAAATTCGGCATTTTTCCTACATAAGACAGGCGAGAGGAGGCGAGATCGTGGGGAAAAGTGAGAGAGTGGCCTCCGGGGGCCGATTTGGCTGCAGGCCTGTTCGGCTGTCGCTATGGTGCATTGGTAGTCACCTGGGATCATTGCGCCGGGGCTGCTCTAGATCAATCCCAGCCTACCTTTAGAAAGCTAATTTCTTTTTGCTCTTTTTTGCAAGCTTCCTGACTTGGGCTCCTGAGGCATGGCCATGCCACCCCCGCAAAAATTTGCCGAATTTGATGCGTTGGCGCCACATTAAACTCGATTTTTCGCTTTTTACGGGCACGCGGAGCGCTATGCACCATTTTATGCAGAAATTTTGCGCGCATCTTTTAACATTAGTGGCTAAGCGCTCTGGGGACCCGTAAAACTACTAATTCCGCAAAAACTGTTTGCACTACGCTGTATACCTATGTTCCTGCCATTTTCAAGTGTTGCAATGTATTAGAGAAATGATCCCCGTCCCAGATTATGTATTGTCGCAAAACTTCAGTAAAATCGGTTCAGAAGTTTTCGAGATAATTTTTCGGTGTCGGCGACTTTGAGGCCCATTTTAACCTCAAAATTAAACTTTTTAAACTTTAAAAACCATCCCACCCTACTAATTCGACCATGCTCTTTCAGATGGCGTCAAAAAAACAGGGTCGAAAAAGACTGTGCCAAGCCTTGGTCGGGTCTCTCGCAAACGGCTTTTTAAAGACTACCAGAACGATGGAACGCGCACTGTCACCCCGAGGGTGCTGCCCCCAAGAACGCGCAGAGAGAGGCGTCATTAGTGGCGCCCCGTACTCGGCAAAGACCCTCTGGGGGTTTGGGGCGCCTCTTACTCCCTTCCCCACCCGGCCGTGTGGTATAGTGGCTAGCGCGTCGGACTGTGGAGCGGACCATCACGGGTTCGACCCCGTCCGGTGCGCAATTTCTTGCTTTTAACCAAAATTTTGATCGTTCTGACGGTCTTAAGGGTACTTGCACATTTGCAAAGGAAAATAGATCATTTTCTACCTCCGGCCAATTATTGCATTTTTCCGTATGGTGTCTTTCGGGATGGTGTCCATAATTCGTAAAAACTATACCTTGAGCTCTTTGCCAGGGAGATTAATTAGGATCTCCCAGATGCCGCCGATGCATGAGGTCATCTCCAGCGGTGTGACGTTCTTCGTGGACAGGTTGGCGAGCATGGCACGCAAAGGTTCGCGATATTCGGACTGCAGAAGTGTTTTCTCCGGGTTCTCGTCCGCCACCTCGTTCTTCTCCTCCCGGGATTCGGCCTTTAGCAGATCATTCTCGAGGTTCTCGTCGGCCTTCTCGTTCTCCTCCTTCCCATTCTCGGCATGTAGAAGATCTTCATCGGGATCCTTGTCCGCCTCGGCGCTGTTCTGAGGCACCGGGTCGTTGATTTTCTCTTGCTCCTCAATATCCTCCTGCTCCTCGTAGCTGATCTTGCGCTGAGGCCTCGGGATCAGCTGGTAGACGAGGAGAATGAGCAGTCCTAGAAGTTGCGTGGGGTATCTGTTTGTAAGATACCTCCAAGAAGAATAGCATAGCCCAGGTCGAAGTCGGCGTCGACGTCGTCGCGGTCGGCTCTGAAAGTGTATCAAATGGTACTGGGCTGTTAGCGGGGGGGGTGGTTTGTTCTAGTATTTTTATGGCTTCTTGAGCAATTTATAAATATAGAAAGTCGGGAAAAAAGTTAGAAAATGTCGGAACTGGCCAAAAAAGGTTAAAAATTCAAATTTTTTTGGTGATTTACTAAATGGAAGGCCAAACGAAACGTACCCCACGGCCATGACGGAGTGGTTGAGCACGAGGGTGAGCAGCAGGGCCAGCATTCGGAAGTCAAAAAGTGGCGAATCGCAGAATATCGCGGAATTCGACGACTCCCATGCCGAGTCGGAATTTTAACGATGAGCACCTGGATTCCAAAACCTAGATGCAAATTTCGGCTTCAAATGTCGGTATCCAGATTTTTTTGGCTGAACGCCACATAACCACTTTTCGTATCTCGGCTGCCTGTTCATCTACAGGTGTGTCAAGTACCAGACGGTTCCAGTCGCTTAAATTACAATTAAATTAAAATTAATACAATTAATACACTTAAAAAACTATTTCGAGCCCAAGGGTGCACCCCCAAGAACGCGCAGAGAGAGGCGTCTTTAGTAGCGGCCCGTACTGTTGGGTTTGGGGCGCCCCTCACCCCCTTCCCTATTTGGCCCTGTGGTATAGTGGCTAGCGCGTCGGAATGTGGAGCGAACCATCGCGGGTTCGACCCCCGCCCGGTGCGCAACTTTCTTGCTTTCAACGGAATTTCATCGTTCTGACGGTCTTTAACGATAATTTTCAGCTCTGCTCCGGCGAGCTTTTTGGTATACTTTACACATCTGTTGATGAACAGGGAGCCGAGATACAAAAGTTGGGGGCCGGCTCGGGGCGGGGGGGAGCAACTGAACTCTTACCCAAAATCGGCATCCCAACAACAGCTCGGTGAGGAAAATAAACTTTTTCCCAGAAACCATTTATTCACACCGAATCCGGGGCGGAAAAGCCACACATAGATGAAGGCAAAAACACATGGGAGAAGAAATATTGGGTCCACTGCATCGTTTTTGTGGGCGTGGACGGTGACCGGGTAGGAGTTGTGGAAGAGAACGTAGATGAGGCACCGGGCTTCAGCCCAAACGAAGCTCACTCAGCACCGATTTCTGGAATTTTGGTTGACTCCGGGCGCAAAATGGGCTACTATCTAGTGCGAGTCTGACAGTAACGCTGATGTGTTATCCTTTTTCATCTACGATCACCGCAAAATCCGCAGATTCGCTTACCGCAAAGGCGTTGATCATGTCCCGCTGAGCTTGCGTCGGGCCGGCTGGTCCAGGCTTATCCGCGGCCGAGCATGCCTGGAAAATCATCGTTACGACAAGCTATGGTAAGAGTTTACATTACCCCCCCCCCCCCCCCCCAGCCGAAGGGTCTCAAAGTTTTCGGTATTTTGCTTCATTTGTCGGGATTTTTGCAACGCCTTTTGATAGAGCGTCAAAAAATATACAAAGGGTTTAAATTTGCGCCTAAAATAATGTAAAATAAAAAGCTATAGGCAAAGTCTTCCGGCTGGTAATTGCTAAAAGTAAAAAAAATGCGAAAATTTTGATATTTTCCGGTCGATTTTGACCCAAAAATTCAAAAAATTTCGAAAGTTATTATTTTTAACATTGTTTTTATATTTAAAAACTATGTAAAATGCTATGAAACAGTTTATAATTTGGTATAAGACCCAAGAGAGTTACAGCGAAAAATTTAATTCACCCTCCCCACAGCAACAGCTCAGGACCGACAGGTAACCCCCCCCCCCTGCCGCCTGCCCCAACTTTCGTATCTCGGCTCCCTGTTCATCTACAGGTGTGCAAAAGTATACCAAAATATTCGCCAGAGCAAGACGAACACCTTGGTATACTTTACACATCTGTAGATGAACAGGGGGCCGAGATACAACAGTTGGGGGCCGGCGGGGGGGGGTTCCAGAGTTTTACCAAAAATTGTTCCACAAAACCCAAAGATACCCACCTTGGACAACTCGTCGATGACCGCCTCGCCAATGTCGGAAAAGTGTTCCTCAACCGTCTGCTGCCACCCGCGGAGGCCGCCCTCCTCGGCCGCGGCAGCCTCAGCCCACTGGTAGGTGTAGCGCTCGATGCGCGCGTCGTCGCACATGTCTCCCACGGCGTCTCCCAACCAGGTCATCCCTTTCCGGCTGAGCTCCGAGGCGATGAGGGTGCGCAGCAGCTCGTCCGTCGGTAGCGCGTCGCTCACAACGCCGGTCGGCTTCCATTTCCGCAACTTCGCGCTCATGAACGACACCAGGGAGGTCGAGAATTCTTCGGTGAGCTGGCGGCAGACGCTGTCGAGATGGGCCAACGTGGTGGCCTTCGTGGCGATGGCGCCCTGAAACCGGGGGTTGTTCTTGTTCAATCAACCGATTTTTCACGAATTCTCGGTACTGGACGGTTAGCAGGGCTTTTTTGTCTCAGTCATTTTCTTAGGAACTAATTTTTCAAATATGAGAAGAACTACAAATTTCTATTTAAAAAATATGAATAATAACGATTTTTCAGCCGAAAATGGTCGATTTTTGTACAAAATTTCTACTTTTCTAAAGTTTTTGGCTAGTTTTTCTAGTTGAAATATCGTTATAGATTACCAAAAACCCCGGTTAAAACACTTTCTAATATTAAGTTACGCGGCATGTCTAGAATTGAGTTTTAAGCAATAATTTTAAATTTAATTTTTAATTTCAGGGTTCAAGTTTTTATAATTAAAATTATGTAAAATGCTATGAAAAAGTGCAGTCCCCCCGAGCCGGCACCCACCTACCGTATCTCGGCTCCCTGTTCATCTACAGGTGTGTAAAGTATACCAAAAGGTTCGCCTTGCTCTGGCGAGTATTATGTTATACTTTACACACCTGTAGATGATCAGGGAGCCGAGATACAAAAGTCGGGGGCAGGCTGGAAGTTATCTGGAGTCTTACCAAGATAACAATTAGTCTGGTCTTGTATATGCCAATTATACCTTGAGCTGGTTGGTAAATTCAGCGAGCGGAATCTCCCAAATGGCGCCGGGGCAGTCAAGGATGCCCATCATATTCGTACTCCTCATGGCCACGAGCGCGATCATCGTGCTCAGCTCCTGGCCATATTTGGAGTGTAGAGGAGCTTCATCGGGATCCTTGTCCGCCTCGGCGTTGTCGTGGGGCACCGGGTCGTTGATTTTCTCTTGCTCCTCAATATCCTCCTGCTCCTCGTAGCTGATCTTGCGTCGAGGCCTCGGGATCAGTTGGTAGACGAGGAGAACGAACAGGCCTAGTAGTTGGGTAGGGTATCTGTTCGTAAGATACCTCCAAGAAGGATAGCATAGCCCAGGTCGAAGTCGACATCGGCGTCGTCGCGGTCCTCTCTGAAAGCGGTTCAAATTCAAGGGTTAGAGTGCAGTTTGTAGGGCAGCAGTTTTTTTGGGTGGGGACCCGCAGCTCCCAGCCGACACCGAACCTTTGTATCTCGGCTCCCTGTTCATCTACAGGTGTGTAAAGTATACCAAAATACTCGCCAGGGCAAGACGAACAATTTGGCATACTTCACACATCTGCAGATGAACAAGGAGCCGAGGTACGGGAGGTGGGGTCGGCTCGGGGGGGTGTAAACTGCACTTAAGCCAATTAAGGACGTTTGAGGTCAATTTTAGTGTTCCTAAAGGGTGGTCACGTCAAGTTGGGGACCAGCGGGAGGTAAACTGGACCGATATACCGTCGTATGTATCGAAACGTACTCCACGGCCATGACGGCGGGGTTGATGAGGATGAAGAGCAGCAGGGCCAACATTTGGTAGTAAGGAAGGGCGAATGAAAGAATAAAGCAAAACTTGACGAAAGCGGGCTGGACCGGGAGTGATGCAAAAAGATCAGATGCAAATGGTGGAAACGCAACAAATTTTATGCAAATTTTGAGCACCAGATCTTTGAGTCTGGTAATTTGCATAAACCAGCAAAAATGCGAGCATATTTTGAGCCTCGAGTCGAGCGATACCGTGTAGTGCGGCGGCTCCATTCTGCGTATCTACCGTATGCTGAGCCTGCTGCTCTTCCTCGTGCTCAACCACTCCGTCATGGCCGAAGTGTACGGCTTTGTAGAATTTTGTGCCCTTTTTCATCTTCTTGATGCTAATATAATGCTTCAGAACCGACAGCGATGACGCCAGCGTTGGCTTCGGTGCCCCCATCAACTATGCCCTTCTTCTTGGAGGTACTTTAAAAACAGTTACCGTTAGCGCTTCACTTTTGTAGCTCGGCTCCCTGTTCGTCTACAGGTGTGTAAGATGCACCAAAGTGTTCGTCTTGCTCTCACAAGCATTTTGGTATAGCTTACACACCTGTAGATGAACAGGGAACCGAGAAATAGAAGTTGGGTGCCTGATGGGGGGGGGTATCTGGAGTTCAGCCAAAATATGATTTCCCCCTGCGAAAACCGCCCCCCTCCGCTATCAGTCCAGTACCTCCTAGGACTCCTCGCGCTTCTCGCCTACGGCCTGATCTGGAGGTCTCGCCGCAAGTCCCGCTACGAGCGACCAGTGCTCGTCGAGGAGGAGGAGGAGGAGGATATCGACGACAGCCAGCCGATCCGCTTCAACAGTGAAGTGCTGCAGAAGATCCATCCCACCCACTTGAATTCGCTGGTGGTCATGTACTCGATGACGGCCATGCAAAAAATGGCGCCGCACGAAAAACGATGCATGGCCACCTGGGAGAAGATGATCCGCTCACACGCTGAGGTGAGGCGGAAGGCGGTACCGGGCTGTTAGCGGGGGGGGGAGGGGTAACACTGTCGTGAACCAATTTTTCAGTTTAGTTTTTTGCAACATTTTTGAGTTTTTGATCAAAAATGTGTGAGGATGAGCCAAAAAATCAAAATTTTTCGCTTTCCGAAATTTTTTACGTCGTAAAATCCATTTTTCTTGGATCTGCGGCAGTTTTTTTATGCATAAAAAACTGTTGAAATCAAGGAAGAAAAGCGTTCTTTAAAATACAATCTTTTTTGGCCAAAATGTAGGAAACTTTACCAAAACAATAAAATTTTTGAAGGTTGATTCTGAACTGTTAGCGGGGGGGGGGATTTTTAACAGGAGAAAACCATTTTCTGTTTTTTTTTTATTTTTTGGTAATACCCAATATATTTTTATAGTGTTTTTGGCAATTTTCGATTGCTAGAAAGTCATCAAAAATATTTGAAAAATTTTGTAATTCGAAAGCTTTGACCTTTTTAGTCATTTTTCATACATTTTTTATCAAAATTCCCAAATTTTTTGCTCCAAAAAACACAACAATTTTTTATAGTTTTCTACTAGCTTTTTCTATTCTAAAACCTCTGTCTTAGTCGATGAAAGCCGCCGTCGCCAACAAGTCGGTCACGATGGATGTGATCGTCGAGGTGTTGCGCCATCTTGCCACCGGATTTGCCGCCCAGGTCATGGAATTGGTTCGCGAGCCGCTGGAGGCGCTCGACCCCTGGGTCAGGTTCAGCATTGTGAGCACCAGGGATGAGCTGATGCGCCGCGTCGTCTCCATGCAGGTACGGAGGGGCTGGTTCGTTAACGGGGGGCTTAGGCCCTGGCCTACGAGGAAGCCCTAACCGAAGTCTACGTCTGACTTTAATCCCAAGCTTAGACTTCTCCCAAGCCGAATCTAAGCCTAAACCTCGGCTAAAATCTAAACCTAAGCCTAAGCCTAAGCCTAAGCCTAAGCCTAAGCCTAAGCCTAAGCCTAAGCCTAAGCCTAAGCCTAAGCCTAAACCTGGCCTAAGCCTAAGACTAAGCCTGTTCCTCTTCCTAAGCCTAAGCTAAACCCAAGCCGAAGCCTAAGCTAAACCCAAGCCGAAGCCTAAGCCTGAGCCTAAGCCTAAGTTTAAGCCTAAGCATAACTCAGCTCGCTTTCACTTTTCGCCTTAACCCCCCCCCGCAAAGGAACAGTACCTCCCTGCAGGTAAGCCGCAGCTGCTGGCCGAAAGAGATGCTGCCGAACGACACGGACGAGCAGATCGTGGCGAAGACGCGGCTTTGGGCTGAGGTGCTGGCCATAGAGGGCCACAGCTTTGATGGCATCTACATGATGATCGAGAACTACACGTTGTCGTTGGTCGACGACGTCAGCAAGGCCGTGTCTCAGGCAGGGTTTTTGCGTTTTACGTTTTTCCGGAGCTTTCGTTGAGGTGAATGGACCAACTTGTTTTCGGCGCAAGTCTAGACTTTTTTATAGCTAGCTGATACGTTTGTACACTGTTTTTAGTTATTTCTGAGCATCAAAACTTTACAAAATTTCCTAAATTTGATTTTTGGTAGAAAAATTGATGTTTTGGCCCCAGAATGATCGAATGTTCGAGTTTTCTACCTACGGTAGTGCGTACGTAGCAGTACGGTGGTACATACGTAGCAGTATGGTAATACTTACGTAGCAATAAGGTTGTGCGTATGTAGCAGTACGGTAGTACGTACGTAGCAGCACGGTAGTACGTAAGTAGCAGTACGGCAGCACGTACGTGGCAGTACGGTATTACGTACGTAGCAGGACGGTAATCCGCACGTACAGCTTCGTAGTTTGGCGCGTCGCGTAGCTGGCGTGGCATAGTCAACGGATGGAGTTGATTATCTGGCTTCTCAGACCCTTTAAAAGCCATTTTTCAGGCTCCAGCTCCCTGCAAGCAAGACCAGACGGCCCGGCGCAAACACCGCAAGAAGCAGCAAAAGCGCCAGTGGTAGCTGGCCTCTACCCTCCTTCTACGGCCACCTCTACCCAGCCGCCGCTCTCACAGAAAAATGAAGCAAATGCTAAAATACGTTCTCCTCGATTGTCTTGTTTTTGTCATTGATGTTCCATTCCTTTCTGACGTTTCGATCGATATGGAATAAATTGGTTTTGGAGAAGAGGTGGAGGGAGAGGAGTTTCAGGTCGAACGCCAGATGATTTACCCAGCAGACTATCATTTGTCGTAAATCTCTGGTGATATAAAAACAGTAAAAATTTGTTATATAATTTTTTGAAAATATTAGACGTTATTGTCAAAAATTTATGATAAATGGCCAAAAAGGTCAGAATTTTTGAAGTTTCGCGCTTTATAAAAATATTTTTATAATTTGCTAGCAATCAAAAAAACTTCAAAACACTATAAAGCCGCACAATATCATCAGCAAGTAGATATGGGTGGAAAACAAAATGTGGTTTTCCCCCCTCTACCCCCCCGCTAAGAGTCCAGAACCATTTTTTCGACCCCGTATCTAGTGGCTCTTGATTTAATTCATCTGGTAAATGTCGTTAGCTTACTTTTGAGCCTCTTGGCCATTTGTATCCGGTGTCGTCCGTACTTGCTGAACCATAAAAGCCATCTTCCACGCTGTCGTGATGACCCGGGGGCGGCCGTAACCCCCCAGTCCAAACATCATTGTGCGTATTTTGAGGGTCGATGTAGCCCCGCGGGGGCAAACACCAACGTCCATCACGGAGCTTATCGTTAGCAGATGGTTTTGTCCCCCAGCAGGAGCCTCTTTTTGTCGTGTTTGACCAAAAACCGCGCTCTTTATTGTGCGAACGTTAAACAGCTTTTCCATGTTGACCTAGCCATCCATCTACGAGGTGTTGACCCTGCGTGGGCGGCCGGAGGCGGTTGATGGGCTTTTGGGCTAGCCGTTCGGCTTGGCCCACCGGTCGACCGGTGACTATATAAGGTGCTTGAAAAATCGGGTAACAAACCCCGCAAAATGTCGAAGATTCTGTTCGTTCTCTGCCTTATTGCAATCCTTGCTACGTTTGTTGTAGCGGAGCTTACGGCCGCCGATGAAGACAACACACTCTCTGAGGTACGTTTATTGCAAATAACGTCGCGTATGTAAACTGCTGGGCAAAACGCATAGCCAATTGGTACTAATCTATACGCAAATTTCTTTGACGTACCGGTGCTTACACGAACGACACCGATCGCTAGCGTTGCGTAAACAGCCCTTACTGTTAAGTACGGTGCGTATTTGGGTACTGACGTACTGACGCCTACTAGCTTGGTCTCAAAGCACTTAATATTACTTATTTTAACGAAAGTTCCGCCCAATGCTCCGGTCAATAATCATACTATGGCCGCAAAAGTGCGTACTGATACTGTTGATATTTCTGCATAGTCATGCTTACCTGAGCCGTGCTGGTACCTAGTCGTGCGTACTCGAGTGATGTCGTAAAGTGCGTACTTAATGCGCACTACACCCAAATATCTGGTCATTTGTAAATTAATGAGTTACTGACCTTTTTCCCATCCTGCCGCAGGATAGGGAAATTTTTTATTTACTATTGAAAATGTTCCAAAATTCAGACTGAGTTCTTCCCACCTGCGAATCGCGCGAAGCGCGGCGTCTGCAAGGCCGTGTTTAAGGCGCGATGTTGCGGCAAACATGCTTGCGATCGGCAGGGATGCTTCTTGACCATGTGTGCGCTGTGCTGTTCTTAAAAATAAATTCTCTACCGCCCCATCCGGAAAAAGTGATACATTCCATGGTTTATTCCACACCACATAAAACATAAGAAACCCGCAGAGAAAGCAACACAGAAAAAATAGAACAAATAATGAGGCATAGAAAGATAGATAAGAAAGAGAGATAGAAAAGAGAGAGAGAGAGAGAGAGAGAGAGAGAGAGAGATTTGCATGTTCACTTTATTCGTATCGAACACTATTTATTCGGGGCCAAAAATACACCCGGGTACACACATCGTCAAATACACAAAAAGTAAGCGTCACAATAAGATACGATCGGAGTGGCAAGGTACGGTAGATGGCGGCCGTGCTGCTTCTGGCATGGCTACCACAGAATATTGCCCTCGCGGACGCTTTGGTTGAACACTGCAAAAAAGCTTTAGAAGCCAAAGCTAAGCTTAATGTAACTTTGGAAATAGATGCTGGTCGAAAAATTCCATTTTCATTCTGAAAACATACGCTGATCGGCGACGTGGGCCGGCAGGTCCGCCCATTCCGTGTACACCTCCATCTCGGGCTAAAAAACTTTAGCAGAGAATCATAAAGACAGAGAAAGAGAGAGCGAGAAATCGAGAGAGAAAAATTACCACAAAATAGTGGGTTTGTTAGCGGGGGGGGGGTTGTAGCCGTATCTCTTTTGCTCTCCCTCTCTCTCTCTCTCTCTCTCTCTCTCTCTCTCTCTCTCCCCCTCCCTCTCTCTCTCTGTCTCTAACCAACCTTGTTCCGATCCTTATTAACAAAGCGACAGTAGCTGTCTGGGCGCCTCTCGTTGGTCAGATAGCCTCCCTACGAAAGACGTTAAAATCTAGAGTAAACGACTTGCCAGCAGCTCCTCCATCTTTTTCGGCACCACAAACCAGACCTCCATGGTGTCCTTCCCTCGCAATATCTGATATTTAAGCATAGGTAAGACTGCAGATTCCCCCAGCCGAATTCCACCATTTGTATCTCGGCTCTCTATGGCTCCAGACGTGTGAAAAGTGCACTAAGATGCTCGTCTTGCTCTGGCGAGTATTTTGGTATACTTTACACACCTGTAGATGAACCGGGAGCCGAGATACGATAGATTAGGGGTGGCAGACTTGGCTTTAAACCGACTCTTTGAAACCTGTACTCCCAAGGCGAGAACCAGCCGGCGAGGAAGCACGGCGCCCATCGTCCGTTCGGCGATGGCCCCTGAAAAAGACATTCTAATCGACCAGGCACAGTACCCAAATGATGCAGCGGGATGACCATGGGATACAGCGACGAATCGCCCATTGGAGCAAGAGAATCGCGGTCACGATGACCAGGCCGTACCACCAGACTAAAAGATGCATCTTTGTAAAGACTTGAAAATGGCTGGTAAGACGAAGTCGAATCCTGGGCCGAACGCGTAAGCTTAAGCCTAGTCTTATTTACAGCGAACCGACCGGAAAACGTCGAATTTTGCTCGTCGTCCGTGAGTGGATCGAAAGGGCCCGACGGGTTGCCGAGACTAAAACAGAAAATGCGCTTGCGGGAGACAAAACGCCATTTTCGTGTTGCTCGCTCTCTCCCTATATCCGGGTCTCTCTCCCTCTCCCTTTCTCTCTCTCTCTCTCTCTCTCTCTCTCTCTCTCTCTTTCTCACTCACTTCTCTCTCGCACTCTCCCTCTCTCTATCACTCTCTCTTTCTCTCTCACTCTATCTATCTCTCTCTCTCTATCCCTCTTCTCTCTCGCACTCTCCCTCTCTCACCCCTCTATCTCACTCTATCACTCTCTCTCAGTCTCCTCACTCTCTCCCTCTCGCCCTGACACGTACTTCTCGCCGATGACGGCGTGGTTGGCGAGGATGAAAAGCAGCAGAGTCAGCATACGGTGGCTGGGCATACTGTAGCCCAGAAGCCGACTAATCAGTGATCAACTAGAAGAAAGTGGGAAGTTCTTTTTCACGTTTTCACTATTTCAGCGTAAAATATGCAAATTTAGACTATATAATTGGAGCAAATCTACTATGATCATCTACAGCTTGGCCAGCTACCTGAGTCCATCGGAAGATCCTCAAAAACCCGGTACGAATATTTATTCGAAAAGTACATTGGCGATGCCAAAGCACATCTAATCATCCAAGGAAAGCACATTCTAGAGGGGGCCGGGCCAGAGATCAACAGGAAGGAGGGTATTCTAGGTCGGGGTGTGGTAGATTATCGTCGCTTCCATCGTAGCCGTCGAATGCGCGCCTTCTCGGCCCTCTCGGCTTTCAATTCCTCCTGCATCCGTCTTACGTTTGCCAAGGTCAATGCGTGTTCGGTGCAGCTACCATCCTTGTGTTTCCACCAGAACTAAAACGGTGTTTGGAAAGCCGGAGAAAGAGAGAGGGAGAGAGAGAGAGAGAGGGAGAGAGAGGGAGGAGGGAGACCCACGGTGACTGTCGGCCGGGTCCACCACTGGAAGATGGGACGGATAACCCATCGGAGCACGGCAATCGCAGCGGCCGCCCCCAGGCAGTACCACCAAACTGAAAGGAAGATGCAAACCTAAGTTTAAGCCTAAGCCTAGACTTTAGCCTAAGCCTAAACCTAAACCTAAGCCTAAGCCCAAGCCTAAGACTAAGCCTAAGCCTAAGCCGGGGTAAAGTCACTGGCTAAACTCCAGATAACCCCCCCCCCAGCCGACCCCCACCTACCGTATCTCGGCTCCCTGTTCATCTACAGGTGTGTAAAGTATATCAAAATACTCGCCAGAGCAAGACGAACATTTTGGTATTGTTTACACATCTGTAGATAAACAGGGAGCCGAGATACAAAAGTTGGGTGCCCGCTTGGGGGGGAGGGTTATCTGGAGTCTTACCAAGTCACTACCCCGAAAAGCCATTACCGCGAAAAGTCACTACCCCGAACGTTAGCCTACGCCTAAGCCTAAGCATCAGCCCTGGCAGACGCTCTAAGATTAAGCCCAAGCCTAAGCCTAAGCTGATACCCAAGTCGAAAGCTAAGCCTAAACTGGCAAGTGCGAAAAAAACCGTACTTGGCCAGGCATCGGTCGTCCGCTGGAATAGGTAGGAAGCAACGGCGGTGATGAAGAGCGAGACCCACAATAGATCACCGAGCACCAGCTTGTAGTTGCAGCGCCAAGGCTCTTCCGTTGGGCTGTAAAGGATGTTGAAGGTTTAGCTCACTCGCTCTCTCGCTCTCTCTCACTCTCTCTTTCTCTCTCTCTATCTTTCTAATTTTCAAACCCTACTTCTCCGGGCTGCTATAGATCGTATGAGCGAGGGGAGAAGGGAATGGGCTCCTCCTAGAAACAAAAAAACGAAACATCGATAGCACCAAACATACTTCTTGCCCACGACGGCGTGGCTGGTGAGGATGAAGAGCAGCAGCGCTAGCATACGGTAGCTGGGCATACTGTAGCTACGAAGCAGAGCGATCAACGATCACCGAATTGGAAGAGTAAAGTTGTTCCTCACTTTTTACAAACCCCGCAAAAAATATGCAAATTTTGGACTATCATTGGAACGAATCTAAATCCGTCAGGTCGATAGTATTGAACGTTCAGTGGGACGGCCTTGAGGTAATCTACAGCTTGGTCAGCTAGCAGAGTCCATTGGAAAAATCTAAAATACCCGGTACGAATATTTATTCCAAAAAAGCCATTGGCGATGCCATAGCACATCTAATCATCCAAGGAAAGCACATTCAAAAGGGACGGGGCCAGAGATCAACAGGAGCGCGGTGGACATGGTAGGTCGGGGTGCGGTAGATGATCATTGCCGGAGAAGCCGAATGCGCGTCCTCTTCTCAAACTCGGCGTCGCACTCGTCCAGCATCCGCCTTACGTCATCCAGGGTCACTGTGTGTTCGGTGTAGCTGCCATCCATGTTGCGCCCCCAGAACTGAAACGGTGTTGTCTCGACAGCGAGAGAGAGAGAACGAGTGAGAGTGAGAGAGGAAAAGCTAGAGAGAGACCCACGGTGACTGCCGAGCGTGACCACCACTGGTAGATGGGACGGATCACCCATCGGACCACGGCAATCGCAGCCGCCGTCCCCAAGCAGTACCACCAGACTGAAAGGAAGAAGCAAGGTTAAGCCTAAGCCAGCCTAAGCCTAAGCCTAAGCCTAAGCCTAAGCCCAAGCCTAAGCCTAAGCCTCAGCCTAAGCCTAAGCCTATACCTAAGTACAAGCCTAAGCCGAAGCTGCAGCTCAAGCCTATACCTAAGTACAAGCCTAAGCTTAAACTGGAAAGTGCGGCGTAACTCCAGATAACCCCCCCCCCCCCCCAAGCCGGCCACCTCTTGTATCTCGGGTCTCTGTTTATCTACAGGTGTGCAAAATCTACCAAAATACTCGCCAGAGCAAGACGAACATTTTGGTATACTTTACATCCCTGTAGATAAACTGGGAGCCGAGATACAAAAGTTGGGACCCGGCTGGGGGGGGGGGGGCTTATCCGGAATCTTACCGAGAGTGCGAAAAAACTGTCGCGAAAAACCGTACTTGGCCACGCCTCGGTCGTCCGCGGAAATAGGTAGGCGGCGGCGGCAACGGCGGTGATAAACAGCCCGACCCACACCAGATCGCTGAACGCCATGTTGAACACCATATGGCCGCGCCAAGGCTCTTCCGATGGGCTGTAAAGGTGCTGTAGTATATTAGTCCCCTAAAGGTCCAAAAATCCCTAATGCTTAATATTAATAATAAGTATTTTAACCGGCTTTTAGGAAAATTTCATACATTTTAAGTGGTCAGCTTTCCCAAAAAATTACCTGGGGCGGTTGGCGGCCGGTCGACCCTTCCGCATGGCAGGGGTGAAATAGAGAAATGATCGGGGAGTTCGATTTGGAGTGGTATATTCGACGCAGGCATTCTGCTTCAGGATTAAAATAAGGATATGGATATATAGAAATGATTCGAATGATACAGAGAGCGCGAGAGAGAGAGAGTGAGAGCGTGACAGAGTCACGGACACATGGCGAGAGAGCGAGAGAGCAGAAAAAGACAGAGAGAGGGAGAGAGATAGGGAGAGAGAACGAACGATAGAGGTTGAGAGATGAAGAGAGGGCGAGAGCGAGGGCGAGAGTGAGACAGACCCGCAGAGAGAAGGCGGGAGAGTGAGAGCGAAAGAGAGAGAGAGTGAGTACAGGAGAGAGATCTTAGAATGGGTATTTTTTTTTCTTTTGACCACTATGCAAAAGTCTCAATGTTTTGGAAGTGTTTCGCATGTTTCCGACCAAAAATCAGCTAAATTTCGAAAATCGTAGTTATTTTTATTTTATTGCGGACTTTTTATATCCGAAATTCCTCCAAATAAGGGAATGAAAATAGTTTAGATTTCAGGATAGGGTCAGGGCAAAATTGGTCGAATCGTCCCCACCGCTAAGAATCAAGTTCGGAGCCTTGCCCTGCTAGGGATAAGCGTTTCTTGAGCGCCGTTTGCTCTCTGTAAAACCACGCTTGGCCAGTGCTAGCAGAGACCATTTGACGCAACCCAAAATCCCGCCCAAATATTTCTTCCAAAAAAGGGGATTGGAGACACCAAGTCACACATCCCCAAATCCAAAGAAAGCACATTGGAAAACGGGGGCGGGACCATAGATCGGCAGGGGTACGGTAGGGACGGTAAGAGGCGGCGGTACGGCAGGATGGGTGGGTGCGGTAGATGCTCATTTTCGAACATAACTCCACCCTAGTCGTTTCATATCAGCATCGTTGAAGTCGCGGGTCACCAAGTTGCCGTCACGATTGAACTCGTAGATCTGAAACTCCGAATTAAGCCCTTGAAGGTAAGAGATGGTATTGACAAAAAAGGGATACGTTGGCCTTTTTTGCGGGGCTACGCGGGGCAAAAAAGCAAAACTCTTAATACATTTTTCGATGCTGTATCCAATGGCACTAAAGAAATTTTGTAAAAATGTCGAAAATGTCGAAAACTCGCTTTCCTTTTATGTCCTCCATGGAAACAACGTTTAATACTTGTTTTTATCATAGCTATTTTAAATTACATAAAATTGTTAAATGAAAGAATTTCGTAAAACAAAAAAACCTATCACTGACAAATGTGTTTCTCCACCGCCATGCCAAAAATCAGCTCGAAATTCGGCCTGACGGCCGAGAAATCGGCTGTACAGAAAACAGACTTACTTTCGTTTATAGGATAGGATTATTTTGAACTAAAATTAAAACTCGTACTATGTTTTTGGATGCTCTATAGAATTGCGTCTTTAAGAAACAGCGTCGGATCCGAATGTCGGAAAACAGCCGCTCAATCCGATTTTAAAGGATTATTTTTGTTTTTGCTATAACTTTTTTATATTACAATAATTCGCGCGAAAATAAAAAATCTTAGTATATTTTTCGATGCTCTATCGAGGGGCGTCGCAAAAATCCCGTCAAAATAACGATAATAAAAAAAAGGCATGTCTGTTCTGTGCCTCCCCCCACCGCGTAGCCGACATATACCGACCCAAAAAGTCCCCCTAACCAACCAGAACCGAATCGGAGCGTATCTCGAGATCCGGCGGGTCATTCAAGAACTTGACCTGAAATTCATGGAAGAAAATGATGAAAGGGGGCTACAAACAGTAGATAGAAATGATATCTTACCCGGGTTGAAAGCCGCTGCGCGGTTTTAAACCCTGGCCTCGTCTAGGGCCCTGGCTAGGGGACCGTGATTCAGTTTACCCCCCCCCCCGCCCACCACCCAGCCGGCCCACACCTACTGTATCTCGACAACTCGTTGTTGTAGCAAAGTGTAAAGTATACAAAAATGCTCCCCAGAGCAAGACGAACATTTTGGTATACCGTGCACACCTGTAGATGAACAGGGAGCCGAGATACAAAAGTTGGGTGCCGGCTGGGGGAAAGGGGGTAAACTGAACCTCTCTAACCGACTAGGGTCCCGATCAACAGGTGTTTCTTGTTTTTTCACGACTATCTTGCAAAAAATCCCAATTTTTTTGACCAAAAAATAGTCAATTTTCGTACCCTCCCCCCCGATAATGCAAAAGAACGCTTGGTACAACTTCGGAATCGGCTAAATAAGGTATAACACTGACCTTGTCGATATCCAGAGCCTTTTTCTCGGCAGCCGGTTTAGAAGCGCTAGCCTCAGCCGGCTGAGCACGAGTGGGTTTCTAAATTCTTTCGGATAGCTTTTGCTCGAGAAATTTCGTTGGGTTAACCAAAAATAATCGTAAACCACTTGTTATCACGTCAACATGGCGTTTCTGGACAAATCGGCAAAAAATTTAGCTGTACCCTCCTCCCCCCCCCCGGATAATGCAAAAAAAGCCTGGTAAAACTTTGGAATCGGGTAAATAAAGTATAACACTGACCTTGTCGACATCCAGAGCCTTCTTCTCTGCAGCCGGTTTAGAAGCGCTAGCCTCAGCCGGCTGAGCACGGGTGGGTTTCTAAATTTTATATAGTTTTTGATCGTGAAATGTCGTTAGATTAACCAAAAGGGTAAGACTCCAGCTAACCCCCCCCCCCCAGCCGACCCCCACGTACCGTATCTCGGCTCCCTGTACATCTACAGGTGTGTAAAGTATACCAAAATGTTCGTCTTGCTCTGGCAAGTATTTTGGTATACTTTCCACACCTGTCGATGAACAGGGAGCCGAGATACGGTAGGTGGGGGGGCGGGGCAAACCGCGCTTGGAAATGGATCTAAAAACTCTGACACTGGCCTTGTCGATATCCAGAGCCTTCTTCTCGGCAGCCGGTTTAGAAGCGCCAGCCTCAGCCGGCTGAGCACGAGTGGGTTTCTAAATTTTTTAGGATAGATTTTGCTTGAGAAATTTCGTTGGGTTAACCAAAAAAAATCGTAAACCACTTGTTATCACGTCAACATGGAGTTTCTGGACAAATCGGCAAAAAATTTAGCTGTACCCTCCTCCCCCCCCGGATAATGCAAAAAAAAGCCTGGTAAAACTTTGGAATCGGGTAAATAAAGTATAACACTGGCCTTGTCGATATCCAGAGCCTTCCTCTCTGCGGCCGGTTCAGAAGCGCTAGCAGGAGCCGGCTGAGCACGACTGGGTTTCTAAATTTTTTAGGATATTTTTTGCTCGAGAAATTTCGCTGGGTTAACCAAAAATAATCGTCAACCACTTGTTATCACGTCAACATGGCGTTTCTGGACAAATCGGCAAAAAATTTAGCTGTACCCTCCTCCCCCCCGGGATAATGCAAAAGAACTTTTGATAAACTTTTGATAGACTTTGGGATTGGATAAATAAACTCCAACATTGACCTGGTCAGTCTTCTGAGTTTTCTTCACTGCGGCCGGTTGCGAAGCGCTAGCAGGAGCCGGTTGAGCACGAGCGGATTTCTAAATTTTTTTGTAGGTTTGATCGTGAAATGCCGTTAGATTAACAAAAAGGGTAAGACCCCCCCCCCCAGCCGGCCCCTCAACTTTTGTATCTCGGCCGCCTGTTCATCTACAGGTGTGTAAAGTATACGAAAATCTTGGTCTTGCTCTGGCGAGTATCTTGGTATACTTTACACACCTGTAGAGAACAGGGAGCCGAGATACGGTAGGTAGGTAGGTGAGGTAAACCGCACTTAAGCCAACTTTGGAATTGGATTTAAAAACTCTGACACTGACCTGGTCGGTTTTCGGAGCCTTCTTCTCCGCGGCCGGTTCAGCAGGAGCAGCAGGAGCCGGCTGAGCAGGAATGGGTTTCCAAATTGTTTATGGTTTTTATCGTTATCGTTATATCGTTAAATATCGGCTACAGTGGTAATCTGGAGACTCCACGAAACTTTTTCGGCTAACCTCGTCGGTTTCCAAGGTTTCCTCCTCTTTTGGAGACTCAGAAGCGGTAGAGGCCAGCTGAGCATGAGTTTTTGGTGAGCCCGTCCAGATGACGAGCAGACGGACGATGCACAGAGCGACGAAAATCGCCCAACCGGCCACCAGCAGAACTGAAAAAATAGATAGAGAGAGAGGAGGAAGAGAGAGAGAGAGAGAGAGAGAGAGAGAGAGAGAGAGAGAGAGAGAGAGAGACGAGCGAGCGAGCGAGAAGAGAGGATAAAAGAGAGAGAGGGTGCGAGAGAGAAAAGAGAGTGATAAAAGAGAGAGAGGGAAAGTGAGAGAGTGAGAGAGACAGAGAGAGCATCAAATACCATAAACCCACTCCAAAAAATCGTCATTGCATAATCGCTCCCGTCGGAGGTTTCGTCGACGAGAGAAGCCGGGTCGTGCCTGGAAATAGCGTATTAAAGGATCGAATTAAAGGGGACCAGGGTTGAAAAGCCGCTTCGCGACTTTTCAACCCTGGCTCCGTCTGAGCCCATGATATCCTGCACATTGCATAATACGACCGAATTTCGATGAGAAATAATGAAAAAAGCATCCTCCCCGCCGTTATATAGGCTGCCGCCACTTCCAGCTTATGCTAATTAATTCCTAACAAAGAGGCTGCCCAATTTTTTAACAAAAAATTATTTTTAATGTCGAAAATAGCATAATTTGCTAAATCTGATATGCGTGCAGGCATCTCGTGACCATTCCGCACCTAATGACGTATCATACGTACCTTAAATTTCGCCCCCTATCGAGATATCCTCCGGACAGACAGACGGAAGTTGCATGCAAAGTGGCACACACACACACACACACACACACACACACACACACACACACACACACA